GTGTTGAAGATGCTGACGCCTATTAGCGGTGACGGCGATGTAGCCAGCCGTGAAGAAGATAGCATCAGTTGGCGTCATAACAGACCAGCCGTGCAGGCGGTGCACCAGTCGGCGGCGGATGAGGCGGCCGGTCGATGAAGCGGCCGGTCGGTGAAGACGTAGACGCCCAACAACGGCGGCATAATAGGCCAGCCGTGCAGGCGGAAACACCAGTCGGCGGCGGACGAGGCGGCCGGTCGGTGAAGACGTAGACGCCCAACAACTGTGACATAATAGGCCAGCCGTGCAGGCGGAAACACCAGTCGGTGGTGGAGGAGGCGGCCGGTCGGTGAAGATGTAGACGCCCAACAACGGCGGCATAATAGGCCAGCCGTGCAGGCGGAAACACCAGTCGGCGGCGGACGAGGCGGCCGTTTGGTGAAGACGTAGACGCCCAACAACGATGACATAATAGGCCAGCCGTGCAGGCGGAAACACCAGTTGGCGGCGGATGAGGCGGCCGGTCGGTGAAGACGTAGACGCCCAACAACGGTAACATAATAGGCCAGCCGTGCAGGCGGAAACATCAGTCGGCGGCGGACGAGGCAAGCCGGTGGTGATGTTCTGACTGATCCATTCCTGGAGCGTAAGAGATAAGCTTAAAGCCATGAATCCCTTTTATGCATATCTGGATCTGGATCCTGCAGAACAAACATACAGGATGAGTAGTATCTGACATAAATATAATACTCGAGAAAAATTCAAGTATTTTAAAATATTTATAAATATGTATTTCTTCTCTTGTCAATTTTGATTTCCCCGAGCAGATGACTCATTACGTTTAAACACTCTGCCCGACTAGTCATAGCCACCAAGCACCGGGAGTCGGCCTAAGCACTTCCCAAACATGCATATGAGTGACATGAGTTCGTCATTAATGGAACAAAGTTTCACGGGTCGGAGTTTACTACTCAGGTACTTTTGCAATTATTAAGAGCAGAAAATAAATTATCTTATCTCTATGCTTTTGATTTATTCCGAATAATACTTAGCACCTTGCGTTATTCAGTCCATCCAACAAGCCCAGGGTGCTAGGAATCGGCCCAAAGGCAACTATCCATTGGCAAACCAAACGGAAAGCATAGGAAGATGGAACTCCATAACTCGATAGGTACTTTTGTACTCAGAATATGTCTCAAGCAATCAAGATAAATATTATGAAAATTGTTTAAAAAATATGATATAACATCTGTAGCCCCCGACTCACTAGTCAATGGCGAACCAGTTGATGTAGTGAGGCAAAGGAAAAGGCAAAATATCATATAAAGAATAAAATAAATGATGACTTAGCTTTGTCGTATTCCCTCGGTGACAGCAAAAGTAGCCGATGTGGGAACGAAGCAGTCCATCAATGGTGACAAAAACACCAGTCGGCGCTAGTGGAACCAAGCCAGTGGTGTAGATGATGAAGCTCATTAACGGCGGCGAAGTCCGCCAACCGTATAGGCGAAAACACCAGTCAGTGGCAACAGAGGCAGGCCGGTGATGAAGTCGTAGACGTCCAACAGCGGCGGCATAATAGGCCAGCCGTGCAGGCGGAAACACCAGTCGGCGGCGGCGAAGGCCAGCCTGTCGGTGAAGACGTAGACGCCCATGTACGGTGGTGTGACCAACCAACCGTATAGGTGAGGACACCAGTCGACGGACGCCCAACAACGGCAGCATATAATAGGCCAGCCGTGCAGGCGGAAACACTAGTCGGCGGCGACGAAGGCAAGCCGGTCAGTGAAGACGTGGATGCCCAACAACGGCGGCATAATAGGCCAGCCATGTAGGCGGAGACACTAGTCGGCGGCGGCAAAGGCAGGCCGGCGGTGAAGTCGTAGATGCCCAATAGCAGCGGCATAATAGGCCAGCCGTGCAGGCGAAAACACCAGTCGGCGACGGCGAAGGCCAGCCGGTCGGTGAAGACGTAGACTCCCAACAGCGGCGGCATAATAGGCCAGCCGTGCAGGCGGAACCACCAGTCGGCGGCGGCGAAGGTCAGCCGGTCGGTGAAGACGTGGACTCCCATGAACGGTGGTGTGACCAACCAACCGTATAGGCGGAGACACCAGTCGGCAGCAACGGAGGCAGGCCAGTCGGTGAAGATGTTATCTCCATCAGCAATTGTAGCGGCACACACCGACCGTGGAGGCGAAGAAATCAGTCGGCAACGATGAAGGCGGCCGGCGGTACATGTAAAGAGACAGAAGAAATCTCTAATTGGAATCAAGAAAACTAATCTTGCGGATTTATGTCTGCATATACCAATGCATATATGACGCATGCATATATTGTTAATTAGCCAATTAATCTCCTGTGGTATGAACACTTAGATGCATTCACACATGCACATCGTTAGACTGATCCGTGGTCCTGCACATAGATCGCAGGTCGAGTCCGGGTCGAATCCAAGTCGGAGAGAATCAGACTCGGGGCAGCCAGGTACATGCAAAATAAGAAACCACAGATTGAATAGAGATTAGTAGCAGAAACAAATAAAAAAGTGTAGATGATTATGGATATTAATTGATGCACGTATGTATGCATGAAGATCGGTCCCATGTTTGGACTGTGCAGCTCCGGGAGTAGTACGTATGCAAACAAAATCATGGTTAACACCAATGATCCAGATCAGGTAATTTGCAGACGTGGTTTAAGGGCTGCCGGGAGGGTGCACAACGCGATCTGTAGCACGGTGTCCCAACATGCGGCTCTGCATGCACAATGCGCAGCCGCGCCGTAGCATCTCGACGAATTCGCATTGCGAGATCTAGCCATATCGTTGGAACATGAAAATCAGAAATAACAACACGTACATCAATCAGCAATTAGGAATCAACCAAATAATAAAAGCAGATTGGAGCGACAAACTCGTGGGGTCGAAGATTGATTTGATCAGAAGACGGCGCCAACAGCGGCGATGATATATTCCATCACACTTGTCGATAGAAAACTCAGCGCACCCCTACCTGGCACGCCAACTGTCGAAACATGAATTCGGCAATAATAAAAGGGGGTAGCGCACGAGACCTAAAAGTGGATGGATGCGGAGACAAAGAATTTAGACAGGTTCAAGCCATCTCAATGAGAAGTAATACCCTACTCCTGTTTGGGGATTTGAATACCCTACTCCTGTTTGGGGATTTGAATCCGCCGGGTGAATTATAGATCTGACGATCTAGTTGTCTCATGCCCCCTAGAGGGCCTCCTGCCCACCTTATATAGGATGGGGGGCAGGATTACAAGATAAAAACATTATCCAATACGGTATCGGTTTCCTAAATCTACTTTACAATCTTATCAAACCAGGACTTTAGGCCGTTCCGTAATATACAAGGAAACGTAATACCCAAGTCATAATCTGTTACATATTCCATATATATAAGTTATCCCTATAACTAGTCGGATAACCATACCGTGTGGGTATGGGGTACCCATAATCTCCACAATGCCTAGATTCATTAACATCTATATGAATGTGAGCAATACTAGAAAGTCTTACGATATGAAACGGGGGGAGTAGTAATCAGTTAACTACTGAACAACATGTCTAAAAACCAAGTTTGCAGATAAACTATTACCCAATAGAAAATGTAGAAGGGAGCACTATATGCTCTCAGAACTGCAGATCTTCGCTCAATTTGTTCAGCAAGAAGACATTGATATTTCAGAGGAGGCAAATCGGCATGAACAATGCAGAATGGGCAGCCTCAGTCTGTCCTTTGATTTAAATATCAAGAATGCCATTTATTTCCAAACTTTTCAGAAACTTCCCCACCAAATTTCACAAGTTTTCGGGCAAGCACTAAAAGTGTCCATTAGGATTTTTAATCAGGTTAGAAACAGAATTTATCACTAGCATATGGTATGTTTGAGAGTATGTTAGAAGGGCATGCTCGTAAGTGCTTACATGTGGCGTGCATGTGTAACAGTGATGTGTGCGCTTACACGTTTTTTATGTAAAAAAGTTCCAATGTTTTTATGCTTAGCTTTGCATACAATCTATGGTTTCACCTCCCACACGGTGAGCATATAACCACAGGTCCTACAATCTGGTTTTAAATATTTATCACGGTATATATCCACTTCTTAGGCAGCGTTCGAGAGGATTAGAGAGTGAGTTTGTTTGTTTTGTTTTCCGCGCGTATGTTTTCCAAACTACTAAACGTTGTATTTTTTGCAAAAATTTTCTATAGGAAAGTTGCTTTAAAAAATCATATTAATCCATTTTTGAAATTTAAAATAGTTAATACTTAATTAATCATGAGCTAATAGCTCACCTCGTTTTGCGTATCTTCCCAATTTTCTCAATCCCCTTCTCCTCAAACACACCCTTAGTTTTGAACTCTGGTTGTTTTGGGGGAAAATGTAGTATGTCATATTAGTAATGTGCATCATTCATGTCATAATAATCACTAAAGGGTACAATTCACTTTTCTCTTCTCTTAAGAACTTTCTGTAAGATCCATTTTCACCCTAAACTTTGGGCCTTCACGTTGATTTTAGATTAGCTGGACCCTGGGCCATGAGGAGATGGGCTTGGGCGGTGGTTAACGAGTTGGAAATAAGTCTACATTTCGCCCTCAACTCTTGCCCCTAGGCTACGAGCCTAACCGTAAGTACCAGATTGGTACTAGACACGATATCAATGGTTACTAGACCTGGTACCATGCTAAATACTCTCTCTATCAAAAAAAACGAATCTAAAATTAAATGTGATAACATTATATAACGAATTTAGATAGATGTATATCCAAATTTATAATAGAAGAATGTATCACGTTCAGTAGTAGGTTGGTTTTTTTATGTACGGAGGGAGTAGCTTTGTAGTCTTTATATATTTAATATATTTAATTTACCTATGTATTTAAATAGATAATTCACATTTCACAGTAATTTTTTACTGGATTTCACAATAATATTAATCTGCTTCAAACACTACACTAATCTCTACTTTACCACACCCTACAATATATAAAGAAAAAGGAAAAACCCAGTCGCTTTCAGTTCCTTCCTTTCACCGGAAGCCAAGGGAGGCCTCGGCCGGAGGAGCTGAAGCCGCCTCCCCCCAAAAATCCCTTCTTTTCTCGGCTTCGCCACCGCCAGATTCCCATGGGCTGCGCAGGATCCACCCCCATGGGCGCCCCCGAATCCGGTAACCCTCCGCGATCCCGGAACCCCCCCACCTCCCCCACCTGTTCTTCGATTCCTGCTGATGCGTCGCGGGCGCGGCGCTTACGTGTGTGTGTTGTGGGGGGGGGGGGGGGGGAATCGGGTTCTTGGTTTCTCGAATCGCGAGGGTGATTGGTTCTTTCTGGGGCGTTTCTTGTTTGCGATTGTGGGGCGTGTTTTGAGCGCCCGCAATGGTGACAGCGGCTCGCGATTGAGTAAATTGGGTCGGATTGTGTGAGGAGGAGAAAAAAAAAAGAAAGGTTTCTTTTATAGAGGGTGAAAAATTGGTTCTTGACTCATGGAATCATGGTGTGCTTGTCGAGATTTGAGTTGTTGATGTCAATCGAGTTAGAGGTTATCCGGTCGAGATGTTTTTGTCCGTAGGTGGTTGTAAAGTCTTCGACTTGATTGGACTAGAGACTGGAGCGATTCTGCAGTGGAACTGGGTGCTATTAGTACTAGCAACTCTTTGGTAGTTGGTGAAAATTTCAGGCTGGAATGTGTGGCGAGATGAATTAAACCTGTCCTCTTTTGTGGGGTTTCTTCTGTTTGTTTGCAATTAAGGATTCTTTTTTCTCCCCATTGCGAATGGTGTGGGTTTCTTGTGCAGTAGGATAATGTTATTAATGCTAAACAACTGTTTGGATAGTGTTATGGGAGGCAACAGCCAACAGGAGACCTGATGTTTGTTTTCGCACCTCTTAATAATGTCGCTGAACAGTTTCTGGTATGGTGATGGTGAATGCAATGATTTGTTTTGAGAATGGGAGAAAGACTTGTGAGTCCATGAACGGCTATTAGATATTAGAATGCCTCTTTATGCATTGCTCTTTGTTATTTTGAGGTGAGGGTTTTGCAGCTTGATGAGATGTATTCAGATGGACGTGCTAGTCGGGGAGAGCGCCATTTTCTTTTGATCGAACCATTGTATTTTTATAGTTTGATTGAGAAGAAACCTGGTACATCAAAGGCGTGATAATAATAATGTATTTCTCCAGTTTGGGTAAAATTGTGATAAATTTTCTTGACTATCTGATGTGTTATGTATGTAACAGTTGATAGAACACAAGTTTTTGCAATTGTCCTACAAGGCTACAATTACTTTCCTGTGATTTAGCGACTTAGCGTTAGAGAAGTACAATGCAGTAATGCAATGTAGCGTACCCCATACATTGGATAGTGCCTCGACATTCTTAGATGCATGGCAATATTACAATACAAATGGCAATATTACAGTACAAATGGTATATTAGAGATATTGAATACACGCTTGAGCATTTCCTGCATCATTGATGACATCAATTTGTAATGTTTAGTTGAAAGACCATATGAAACTGTATGTGTTTCTAGCCTGGTTTGTATAACTGGTTAAATTGTGAGACTCTGGGATTGGATGATTCTGGTCTGTGTTATTTTGTTCCTATCAAGTTATAGTTTGTTTGTTGCCAGCAAATTTGCACTAGCTAATGTGTGTATTTGTGTTAGCCACATAGTAATTTAGTACTTGATAATTGATATGCAACAAGATAATGGTCGAAAGGCATATTTAAGGCAAGCATTGGACTTATATCTTCATATGCATTAATGCATTATCAACTACCTTTGATTAAGATTCCCAAGGGCTTTGATGCCCATCTCATATGGTGACTTTTATTGAATAATATACAGATGCTACTAAAAAAATCAGGAAGCCTAAGCCCTGGAAGCACCCCCAACCGATAACGATGGTCCAGCTCACGAAGATGCGCGAGGAGTTTTGGGACACAGCTCCTCACTATGGTGGTCGGAAAGGTATTACTCACTCTCTTCTTTTTCCTTAGATGCATAACTTTAGCTTCAATCATTATAAGTATATGTAATTCTTACACTTACTAAGCCTTCCTCAGAAATCTGGGATGCCCTGCGTGTTGCGGCAGAGTCTGAAGTGTCCCTTGCACAGGCAATTGTGGAAAGTGCAGCCATAATTGTTTCTAATACTGATCTGACTCTCTGCTATGATGAAAGAGGTTTGATATTCCACCTATTTTGCTATTTTTTATTCCTTAGCATACCTCATATTGTCTAATATTGTTATTAATATTTCAGGTGCGAAGTATGAACTGCCCAAGTATGTCTTGAGTGAACCAACCAACCTGATTCAAGACAGCTGAAGAGCAGACCTACTGATGTAAACAACTGTAAATGAGAACAACCCCTTGAGTGTCCTGGTAGTTGAAGCATGCTTGATAAAAGATTTTAAGCATGTTCTGGGTAACTGTCAGCTTACATTTTGTCTCTTCTTGTTAGGACACAGTTCTCTTCCATCTTGGCCGTTGTCCTCCACCTTAGATAAAGTCTTTACAATATCCCCTGCTGCTGGTGCTACCTTAAACATGGTCTGCTTAGAAATCTTTTATATGAGTTAAAAATCTTAGAATGGTTCTTAGATATTTCATTATCATGATACAAGTTGGAGTAAGATTACAGTATGTGTTTCAGAAGAAATATATGGCACATCTCGCACAATTAGTTTTGCTGCCTTACCTCTAATGCATATGCAGTTGTTCATCCATCCTGTTGTTTGTACTGTTGCAATGCATTACCTGGTTTCACAAAGCAGTTTGACAAGATTGCCAGGTAGAAAATCTTGATGAAATTCGTAGTGGAATATCATGCAAGTGAGTAGCACACCATGATATTAAGACTGGAATACCATTTGTTCATCAGTTCATGTCTTCATGACCTGATGCTGATTCATCTAGTTGTATGGCATGAAGTTTGAGAATGTGACCCGGCTGAAGATCTCCTCCATGGCCCTCATCATCTCCAGCAGGTCCAGATCTACCTCAACCTCTCCAACGCCACTCTGGCTGTTGTCGGAGACGGTGTTCCTCTCGCATAGCGCGAACCGGCACACCGGGCAGTTGCCATGCCCCTTCACCCAGGGGGTGATACACTCTTGGTGAAATATGTGGTTGCAGGGTGTGGCCACCACCTGCTCCCCAGCCAGGAATGTCTCCAAACATATGGTACATGCTTTCTCCTCTTCCGTGTTGTTTGGAGCTGGCTTGGATCTTGCACTCTTTGCATGGTTTCTGCCTCCTCTGTTTGATTCAACCATCTTATGAGGGTCTAAGGACCTATATGCCTGCTTGTTGAGCTGCTCCATCGCCTTCTTGAACTCGGCATCGGTGAGTCCGGGGTCCTCTTGTCTCGGCCTCGGGTTACCGCCACCGTTGATATGGCGGATTCTGAATGGCACATATGTTTGCAATGAGTTACTGTTGAACAGATCATATATGGCTGCTTTGAGCCGAAGTGACAGAGATGATGGTTCCATGGCTCCCTTGCAAAGAGAATGATCACATGTGCAGTGAAGCTCAAATGGAAAAGAGGAACATGAGTCTTGTGATCCTGTACCTGGAGGAAAACACAAAAGGTTCTCTTCTCACCCTTTGCTCCAGTGATCTCCAAGGATAATCCTGGATCAAATTTCAAACAAAAAACATGCTTACAAATACACAGTTGATATGACCACTTCTATCATCCAGCTACTTCTTTCCTTGGAAAAAAAAAGTAAATAAAAGAAACCAGTTGCTGCTTATGAAATCAAAGAGTAGAGTTTTGAGAATTTGATAGCAGTTGCTACCCTGCCATGGTAGAGAGGCCAAGGTGCCCTCCCTCTGGATGGCCAGTGATGGTACAAGCCATACTCATGCTCAGGAGGCTGGGGGCCGTACTCCGGCCCATAGCTCCCGTCCGGCCGGCGGCCGCTCATCTCGCCGGCGACCGGAGTTGCCGGCTGCTCGCCGGAAGAGAATGGATTTTTGCAGGTGTGTGATCGATCAACGAGGTCTATGGAGGTGCAGATATGATTCTTCCTCAGTTTATCAGGTGTGGAGAAGAACCAAGAATCTTGTGCTTTGGTAGAGAGATGCTAAAGGAAAGTGAAGCATCAGGTTCTCCTTGCAGTCTTCATCAGATCAGACAATGTTGATCTTTGGTGGATATCTTTGGATAATGGAGAAACGGCTTTACAAAATGGAAGTGAATGTTATGTGGTGTTCGTTTCTACTAAAGATGATTAATTGAGGAAAGAAAAAACCTATTAGCGTATGATTAATTAAGTTTTAATTATTATAAATTTGAAAAATGAATTTATCTAATATTTTAAATCCACTTCCGTATAGAAATTTATAGATACACCATATAGTAGTTTGAAAAATATGCTAATGGAAATTAAGGTAAAATCTGGATGGAACCAAGATTGATAGATCAAATTTTGGTCCAGTTTACGAGGTCTCCATCGAGCCGTTTCAGGAGCCAGAGTCAGGACCAGGTCTTCACTCTTTCTTGCTTGTTCGTTTTGGGATGGACCAAATTGTTCTTCAATTCAATTCAAACTTTTTTCTTTTTAAGATCAGCACGCAGAAGTGCTCTTTTCCGATTTGCTAGCGTGGCACGCTGAAATTATCTTCCAGGCTCATCGAATAAAGTAATTTACCACAAAACATTGGTACATAAAGTGACAATGACAGCACAGTTATCTGAAGCTCTGATGATCATTACGGTATCTATGCTCCATCTGAAGAATGTGATGAATGTTTTTCACAGCAAAATGCCCATCTAGGAGACTAGGATGATGCAATCTCTGGCAGAACTCTACCTGAGTCAGGAAGATTCATACAATGTGAATATGTGATACATGCTGTACTGGCTTAAACTAAAGACTAGAAAACAGTATATTTGTGCTCCAAAATTGATCTGAATTCTAATCCATGCAGTTTTCCCCTCCAAGCTGTTGCACGACCAAATTCTCTCTGGTCACATGATTGGAAAACCAAATCTTGAAATGCTCCTTCCACATGGTTCTGATGCTGATAGAGAAATGGATTATGGTATTATTAACTTCTTCTAAGCCTGCTTGCTTTTTACGCATGGCTTCCTACGCATCATATTTGCAAAGGTTCTCAAACCCCATGTACTCATGTTGGTTGATCCTATGAATCATGTTTGAGATGCCAACTCCACCTGTGGATAAAAAACATCATACCATGTGAGTCATTGTTCAGGCATCGACATTAGATGAATTACAGTAAGGTATAGAAAATAGTACCTAGAGAAATTGCGCTGACAAAGATCATGAAAGCCAAAATGAAGATGATGAGCGATGCCCGTCCTAACCAATTGATCAACCTCCTGACCACATGCTGGCCAATAATGGCAGCGATGAATGCCACAATGACAAAGTACAAAGCTGAATAAAAGGCCAAGAAATTGATTCAGTTCATGGTTATTTCTGCAAGTTATGCAAGATAGAAAATGTGAACCAAATAGATAGGAGTACCATAGGGCACTGGGAACCGGTTCAACAGGTAGTACTCAACAACAGACATTGAAGATGAGAACATCATTGCAAAGGTGGCTGTTGCACTTGAAACCTGTAGTTCCAGTTAAGATATTATTGCCAAAGCATATATTCTTTCAAGTACTCAACAAAAATGGGGATGGAGTGTACCTGGGGTGGGATGCCAAGTTCCAAGAACAGTGGACCCATGATAAAGCCACCTCCGAGACCTAGCAGACCACCAACGACCCCCGCAGTGATACCGAAGAAGCAGTATATGCAGAGCTGGTGAAATTTCAGTGTAGTCTGTTCATTTCCCTTTGACGATAGAACTCTCTTCCCGCTCATCAGGCCCAGCGCTTCATACATAGTCACTCCAACTGATACTGGGATCTACATCCAACCAGTAGAAAGAATTATCATACTACTCTTCCTAAATGATGTATGGACAATCCATAGAACATCCATCTTTTGCCATAAGCCAGAATAAGTGCAAGTAAACAAAACAAGGGGCTGGTGTGAACACTAGTCCAGCAAGTGGTGTGAAATTCTACTTCATAAAAATATATAGTAAAAGTACCTTAATACCATACAATGTGAAAGATTTTGAATATGTAATTTTGAGTGGTTTCCATTTTTTAGGGATGAATAAGAACATGAGCTTCACATAGAGAATAAAAAAACATAAAACCAGCATACACAAGTCAAGATACATCTCTCGTGAGCTAATCCATAAATGTGAAAAGATCAATATACAAGGCAGTTCAAAAAATCTGATGTCGATCCAACATGTAAAACGATGAATTTTATTGGTTTCAGTTTTCTAGAGGATAAAAACATCAGCATGGATTACTGGTGTAATAAAGGGGTCAGACATGTGAAGTTATTTAAGTACCTGGAGAAGGTTTAAGATCCAGTACCAACTGGAGCAAGTAGCTGTGTAGTTCTGCAAAAATGAAAAAACAACATTAAAGTGTTACTGTTGAATAAATTAGTGCTAATGTCAGTTTTATGCTTGTCTTTTTTTTATTTCACAAAAAAAGTAAGGCTTTCCCTAGTGGTTTAACAAAATAGCAACATGGTGGAATTAATTGTATATATTGATTTGACGACCCATATTATTTATGGATTATGATAATCCTAAAAGGATGCTCTTTCACCTCACACCTTTATTGTGACATTACATGAATAGATAGATAAATGATCATGACATCATTATGCTGCAAACACAGAATATAAAGAATGCTTGGCCAGAAAGGGTAAAAAGAAGCAGAGAAAATATTAGGATTTAGGAGTAACTTGAAATATGTGCAAATTTGCAGGTGAACACTTGGTGAGAAACTGAAAAACTAGATGAAGTTGACACTGATTACTATCTTTGTGTGCAGCTTTGTGTTAAAACAATCACCTTTGTGACCTGAAGAACAAGGAATGCCATCCACACAAATGCAAGAAGGCCAAACTCCTTCCAGTAAATGTTCTTCATAAGTGATGCCTGAAATGAAATATTGGAGAAATTCAAACTTAAATTCTTTATGATTATGGTTCCAAGAATGCAGGGGATCATGTGTATCAACATCAGATTTTAATTTACCGCTTCATCTGATGGCCTTTTTGCATCAGCTACAGCGCCTGGTCCAGTAGGAAGTGGTGCATATTCTGGTTCTTCACCTGAAAGGTTGGAAAATATAAGCAACAGACTTTGCATTTTGTGACAGACGAGCAGCACTATGATTTCGAGCTCTCTTACTGGTTTGCTCCAATCGTTTTGCAGCCTCCTGGAAGAAATGGAAATAGTCCCATTAGTACACCAGAAATGAAATAAAAGCCGGGAAAATTGAGAGTCATTGTTTACAAAGATGGCAAGTCAATCGAAAAAAATCAATTACCCTTTTGATTATTGTCTCTTTCTTCCATGTCTCAACACCCTTCAGAAAAGCTTTAGTTGATGTGCCTGTGGTTTAGTACGGAGATGCAAACTGAGGTTATCAGTGAGGAACTAGATGTGCAATGGTAGACGCATTGGAATGAATTGAGTACCTAGGAAAAGGATAATAAGGAGAACTGTGACCAGCCAGTCAGGGAATAAAACATTGAAAATAACACCAATGCTGATCCCAAGCATTAGCATAGGCTGGATCAGCAGGGCTAGGTCATAGTCAATCACTGGCATGTCCAACGTAGGATGTTTAAGCTTGAGATTGTAGTAGACAGTTGAGACAGCTGCACCCATGATCATACCTGTCCCGAAGAGTATAATGTCTCATTAAAATTAGCAATTACAATATGTAGTAGTGAGAAAGCAGGTCAAAAACCAGATTTTACTTGAATTGTACTGAACCAAGTAACAGTACAAAGTAAAAAATCCCAAAGAAAAATTATCTATACCCCAAAATGGAGAAGCACCTTTCATCCACAATACAGAGAAGCTAACCAGAAAGTTATTATTTTAATATATAAAGAAAAGTAGAAAATAAATCCAAGAAATGAAGTCACAGAACTGCATATACACTTTTAGTCCCTTTAGACGTTCATGGATATTCCGTATTTTAGATTTGCATATCAATACTTCAAAGTGCAATTGCTGCACAACCTTTTCATCTTTGTATATTCCCTATTTATGGTTATAAATATACACTACTCGTACTTTGATATACAAGGGAAAATGAGGAATCCATGTACACATGAATCTAGGACTAGCAACCACCACAACAACCTGCCTAGTACAAAAACGGAGAAGGAAATAACACCAACTGCCACTGCTAGGACATATAATTAAGCATCCCAATTTTTCAGTCTTTCACTTTGCAAAGGCATAAACAGACCAAAAAGTGGACAAACAAGATACCGTAAAAAATGCAGACTAAGGTACACGTGAATCACCAAAAAACAAGCTTAAGAAATCAATTTGTTGGGACAATACGAACTGTTTCCTTTCAGATTTCAGAGCATAAACAGGTGCACACAAGAGAGTGGTGTTAGATCCTCACATTTTGATATTGCAGTAGATGACTTTGGATCAAACCCAATGATCAAAGTCAGCATTGGCACAAAGATCCCACCACCTCCAACGCCGCCCACACTCCCGAATGCCGCGCCGAAGAATCCGATCAGTGATCCCAGCACTATTTGCCATCCTAATTCCATTTCCTATAGACAACACTAATATATCACCAAATTGACACAATATGTCCGAAAACATTAAAAACCAATTGCAAAAGTACACAATCACAAAAGGTACAATCTGAAGCTTAAACTACCTGAGAAGACTTAACCAATTGCAAAATAATTCAGTTTTAACATGCATGACTCAAGCTGAATCCCATTGTACCCACAAAACTCAGCAAACACATCCCAGTGAAACAAACATAAAGAAGTACTACTAAAAAGTATCCCATCCCCCTCAATTAACAAAACAGTTCATGAGTTCAAAGCAAAATAGTGAAGCAGAATCTGAATGCTAATTTACAAAAAAAAAAGCTCCAAGAAAAAGGTGTGGTCTGTCTGTATTTACCGGCCAAACGTGGTGGTACGAGTTGCCATCAGTCTGCCACAAGAAATTGGCCACCTTCCGAAGGATGCCCACTTCCTCCGGCGTCGCCGCCACCACCGCCGCCGCCGCCGCGGCGCCGCCGCCGGCGGCCGAGGTCACCGAGAAGGCTCTCCTATCGGCGGCCACGGCGGCGGCGGCCGCGCACGCGACGCCGAGCGCCGCAATGGCGTGCCACTGCCATGTCCTCCTCCCCATCCCTCTCCCTCTCCAATTCCGCACCGCCCTTCGCTCTCTGCTGCTCCAAAGACACAGAATTTTTGCAAGAAAAAAAAGATTCAGAGCTTGTCCCCTTTTCTTGCCGCAAGAGAGAGAACAAGAATTCAGAAATCACGGAATCAAAACGCTTTCTTTTTTTTTTCTTCTTCTCTCGCGGTTTCGGATTTGGGAGACGTACAAGGGCAGCGAGCGAGCGGGTTTCTTGGGAAATCTTGGCGTGCACAGGACGAGGAAAAACCGCGGAAGAAACCGGGGTAAGAGAGTCGATGAGACGCTCTCAGAACCGGATGAAATGCAAGAACAATGGCAGAAGAGAGATGAGAGAGAGAAGCAGATGAACGTGTGAAGGGAGGAGGCGATGAACTCGGTGCCAAATTTAGAGAGGGATGGCACTTTTCGCACATGGACACTGAACTCTCACGATATTGTGGAAGATGGCCCCGTTGAAATCTGCATTTGTTTTTTTATTGCTATTTGTTTCTTCTTCACACACAAAAATCTGCACAAGTTGCGGCCATGTAGTAGTATCATGTTTAGAATTTTTTGGGTCACACTCCGAATGATATTTCTTGGTAATTTTCAGAATATAAAAACTTGCTGCCTTAGATTGAATTTTAATATTTGTGCAAGTTGTATTTGGAAATTGGGAACTAGAATAATTGTAGCATTACCTTGCGGTTTATGACTTCATGAGAGGGGAAAAAAAATGAATCCTTGCTATATCTTTTCACTTCCAAGTTTCTGGATGAAAATGGATAGTACTCCGTATTTGTTATAATCACAAACTTTTTTAGACTTGCTGACTTGCTTAGATTGATTGATGCTTATTCTAGTTCTACTAGTACATATAAAAGCAAGCTTGTCTTGTCTTGACGTGGGAGTAGGACCTACTAAAAAGTTTAGGGATCTTTTAATTGGTAGAGTAAAGCTCAAAATGACGTGCTAGTAACTTCAGGAGAGACCTAAACAGATGCTTCTAAGTAAAGGCTACCTTGTGAAAAAAAATTGATTTTCTATTGTGCTAGTAATTAGTAAATAAATGGTTCATGTAGTAAAAGAACTGAACACTTTGGTACTCCCTCAGTCCCATTTTAAATGCAGTTGTAGGTTCATGTGTTCAATGTTTGACCGTCCGTCTTATTTAATTTTTTATGATTAGTATTTTTATTGTCATTAGATAATAAAATATGAATATTATTTTAAACGTAACTTATTTTTTAAAATTTTTTATAAATTTTTTAAATAAGACGGATGGTTAAACGTTGGATACGAAAATCTACGACTACACTTAAAATAACACGAATGGAGCAATGTAGATGTAGCCTGGTAGGTGAATGAAATATCTATAACCAGATCAAGCCCCAACCTTAATTCAGACTCCATAGAAACGGCGACAACTTTTTTAACTGAAAAAAATAGCATCACATGCGCCCATGTCAAACCCATATGGTTTTTAAAGTCATAAAAATAAACTAATTTTTTGAACTCAATTAACTAATTTTTAAAAGCACGTAAGTACAGGTAGTTCTACTACTGGAGAACTTGCAGTGTTCAATGAACAACACAGCGCTGGAAGTTGTACAACTGATTAAGAACAAACCGTGAAACTTGGAACGTTGCACGTCCATGCAGTTTGCTACAGTTAAACGACTAAAAAACAATAAGGAATTGACAAACATTTAAGAGCATGTATAACATTAATTAATAGCAGACTCTTAGGTTGTCTACTACATAAATTTGTTTATGTATATGAAACAGAAGAAATGATGGAGAAACATCGTTGTTGAGCTTAATATGAACTCTTAGCCTTTTATGAAGAAGATTTCGCTATATGGTGAATATAAAAAAGAAAAGAAAGATAATAAAATATCATTTTGACATATATGTGTGGTTGCAATTTTTATTGTCTCTATCTTTAACATACCCTAACAACTAAATCTGTGCCAAAAATAAATATATGGTGAACATATACATGCAGCCTGAGTATACAACACTAAGATATGCGCCTTAGGGCATCCACAATATAATGTGCATCTAAAGTGGGTAATAAGAAATAAAATACTATTACTACCAGGTTATATACATTGTGGGAGTAGTAAGTAACTAATACCAAGTAATATGCTTACTACTTCATAAGGAATGAACAAATGATTTCTCTCATCTTTCTCTCGTGGTTAATGATTGTAGGGTCTAGCTTACTACTCACTTTTGTTCTTTCACCATTGTGGTTACAGCAATATCTAATACTTACTAATGTAGGGTCCACCTTTATTCACAAAGTAGGTAGTAAATATTGGTGATGCCCTTTTGTGTCTGCTACTTCTGTTTGTTTGACAATGCTAATATCAGAAAGTGGAGAATATCACAGCAGCACTATTTTTAATTGGGCTCCGCTGAAAGAATGTTCTCTTTCTCAAATGGACAAAAGCAAAAGGTTTTAGAGGGCACTGTTGTTCAAGGACACTTGGCATGTATCATCTCTGTGGCAGCAGATTGTTTCCAACCTTTGCTATGCATTGCTGTGCTTGTGCTTGTCTCTCTCCGGTATGGGAGATGGATTCTTCAGTGCTATCTTTTCTTCCCTCCCTCTTTCCCTTTTTCCAATTCAAGTTGATGTAGATATATCACAAAAAGTAAGCAACAATATCTGATGTCCTTTATTTGGTTGTAGCCTTTTGTTTTGCTGATAAATTCTTGGTTCTTTAGTTTTGTGCTATAGTACAAATGCATTTTTCATGGTGGATCAACAAGTCGGAATTTATGCGGTGGTCGAGAGTAATCTCAGTTGCTTGAGTTCAATAAAAACTTTCTTTTATCTAAAAAAATTATTAACAAGCCAGAACATGACAAACTATATTCTTTCACATTAGAAAACTAAACAAAATAATCAGTTGACTAGTATAACCATGATTTCATAAACTAGCTAGCATGTCACCCGGATCTCACAAATTTATTTTTTCTGGTTGTTAATATTTTTGCAGCAGTGATGAGGTTCCACCATTTGGCCGTTTCCCCATATGTATCCCTCAAAGTCATGTTGATGCCCTCACTCACCGCTCATCACCATTTGGACGGCTGCTAAAGAAGACAAGATTGTGAGGCTGAGGCCACACCTCACATGTTGTGTCTGTCTTGTTGTCAGCATGAACGACCATGCTAATTAACTTTAGCAGCCGATTTAATTTTGAAATTTTTTTTTTGAAAATTAATATAACTTTAGCAGTCATAGTAAGTTAATTTTCAAAAGAAAAAATCCGATTTAATTTTGTCTCTTTTTTTTTCTTTTGCACAACATGCACTCACACCTCTGAGAAAGTGTGAAATCCCTAGACCCAAGCATTGTAGAGTACTGGACCTCAACCATCTACTTGGCTATAGTCCTAAAAACTTGGCAACAGACGGGTTGTGTCATCCATTCATTTAGGTGCATCCAGACAACTGTTGACGAATACCAAAATGTGATGTCACATTCACTGAAAAACTCGTAATTTATTTATGAGTACATAGTAAATTTCAATGAACCTGAGTTCGTGTTGTAGAAAAGATGGCTATCGCAACTCTTACAAACAAAGCTATCAACCGTTTGATTTTACTGTAGAAAAAATCATAGAAAATCTAGATTTACCCACAAGTCCACAACATGTCACGTTAGCCTTTTCAAGAGTTCTATAAGGAAAAAAAACTGTACACAATATTATCCTTTTCCTATAGAAAACACAATAGTTTGACACATTAACATATCCTTGGATTTTTATGATCTTAAGGTTTTATAAACCCACACTGTTAACTAATTTAAATTTAAGAGTTAATTGCACTTTGGGCTAGGTATTTTTACCAAAATTTCAATTTGGACAAGGGGTAAAGTTATCTTATCACTTTGGATTATATAAATTTACAATAGTTTCAAATTGGACCACCCTTCTTCTCCATCTCTTCTCTTTCCTCATTTTTTCTATTAAGCACCTGCGCCATGGATCTTAAGGATGAATAGATGATCAAGCATAACACTGGGATCCCTTCTCTCTCTGCTCTGTTCCCGAGCTTGAGGAGCTAACAAAATCAAGCCTCATGATCGCTGGCTGCTGTAGCTGCTGCATGCAAGCTCAATAGAGTGACTTGTTCTAAGCTCACATGATTTTTTAATAAAGGAAAAAAAGTAGAAGTCAACCAGCTAAATCAAGGAGTTAAGAAATCATGGTTAGATGGAATATTGATTGGTTTATTGTGCTGCTGATAAGCTTGCTAATGAAATCAAGGAGTGGCAAACAAAAAAGTGGTCCAATGTACAATAGAGGGTAAGAAATCCTGGACCAAAGTGAAAACATTAGAAATAACCTAGTCCAAAATGAAACTCAGGCAATAATAACTGGCCAAAAGTAAAATTTACTCTTAATTTAATATTGTAGCACAATAGAAAATATCTACTCCCTCTATCCCAAACTATAGCAATTTTGGTTATGAATCTAGACAAACCTTATCCAAATTCATATGTTCAGTTTGAAGCTAAAAATTACATATGTGAGAACGGAGGAAGTAACTTAGGTAGGTATGGCATTTAGTTGATGGATTTAATAACCTCATAAATTTCGGATACAAGTTTAGAATTTCATATTTAGAATTTCATAGTTCAGTAGCTGAAAGAAAAAATAGTTACTAGAGTAGTATGGTTTTATAGAACTATAGTACATATAGTTATATGTAGCATGTCAAAACCCTTATAATCGTAAGTAACTTGTACCAAAATATATGGAGCTATTGTAAAATTTTCTATTTATTTCTGCAGGATCTCTCTAATAAAAAATGTTGGGTGATCTTAGTACGTACGGACTACAGGCCCTTGCACAGCATCAAATTTACATCTTGCCAAGTTGCCACTAAACTTGATCTCATTTGATATCAAAGTACGTGGATCTCCTACATGTTCTCGAAAAACAAATTTGTTGGAGATCTCACAGCCAAGCATTTTAGCATTGCATCTGCTTGAAGCTCACATCAGCGTCAGCAACAGGATAGCACAGGCCGGAGAGCCTATGGGGCGCACAGTGCAACCAGAATGCTGCCAAGATCCCTCTCCAATCGACAATGAAAGCCAGCAGGCACAATGCATCACATCACCTCACTGGTCCATGTGATCTTTCTGATAATCAGATTAGGTTACACGTAAAAGAGAAACTAAACAGGGACAAAACTGTCAGTTCACTTCTGCTCCCTATCTGATCTACTACTCCTCTATCCCATTTGTGGGTTCCAGTGTCTAACGTTTGACCATCCATCTCATTTAAAAATTTCTTGTAATTAGTATTTTCATTGTTATTAAATGATAAAACATGAATAGTACCTTATACGTAACTTATTTTTAATTTTTTTCATAAAATTTTTCAAATAAAATGAACGGTCAAATGTCAAGCACTGAAACCCACAACTGTACTTCAAATGGGATAGAGGGAGTACTATCCAAAATAAGTTTACTTTTAGCCTCAATCATTTGTCCCAAAATAAGTTCATTTCTATCCTCTCGTATACACTCTCGGTCCGCAAAAACCTATTCCTTTAATACCTCTGGCTTACTCTCACCTACCCACTTAAGAATACTACTTTTTATTAATGTAGGGTACTTTGGTTCCTCTATCTTGTTTTTAGCATCTAAGATAAAAAAATGAAGTTATTTTGAGTTGAAGGAAGTAACAAGGGAATAAGGCTCCAGTCATGGGAGCCGTCCATCAGGCTCGCACAAAGTTTCTTGGACTTGCCTTAAGAATGCCAGAATCCAGATGCAGAGTTTTATACGTTGATGCTATTCAGATCAAAACTCAGGCTGTGTTTAGTTCACTCTCAACTACACTAAACTACCAACTTTCCATCATATCACATTCAAAACTTTTCTACACACCTAAACTTTAAACTTTTTTTTCAAACTTCCAACTTTCCGCATACTTTCAACTTTTTTCAGCTTTTTTCAGGAAAACACACCCTCAGAGAAGTTTGGCAATGGAGTTCAGTCTGGCCAGGATCCAGATCGAATTCTCTTGTACATCCTCTCAGCGGCCACATGCAAGTCTCAATCCCGAGAAGTCATGCTCTGATCTGCGAGGAGTTTTTTAAAAAAACAGCACATGGTACACATGGTGCAGGTACTAGTATAGCAGATAGGAATAACTCGGACAAATCTGAGAAAGAAGATACCCTTTCCACCGTTCCACCTACTCCTTCCAACTGTACGGACAAAATATGCAACTGGAACCATTGAATGCTGAGGGGTGGGCTAGCAACTTAGCCTCGTCCTTTGGCATATTGGAGAAAAAAAGCGAAACGGCATATTTGCAATTAAAAAATAATTTGTGAATAAAACTTTTATACACGTGTTCTTAACGATATAAAAGCAAAGGCTGAAAATAAATTACGATAAAAAACCCCAAAATCAACTTTATATTTAAGGTTGAAAATTTAAATTTTAGCTGATAAGTATAAACATAAGCGAAAAGATAAGGCTGTTAGTACTCCTCCCATAATATAGCACCTTTTGGCTATAAATTTGAATACACAATTATTCATATTCATAACTAAAAATACTTATATTTTAGGATAAAAGTAGTAGCATATAACCGTATAAGGGCTTATTCGGTTAATCCCCAAAAGGAAGTGATTAGAGGAAGTTAAGGGGGATAATTCCTCACCAAATTCCAAGGAAGTGATTAGAGGAAGTTAAGGGGGATAATTCCTCACCGAATTCCCTTGGCCTTGAGATTAACCGAACAAGGCTTATATCCATCATCTGTCAAGATAATTGAGACAATTGATCAAGCTGAGTTCATAACAATTATTTAAGAGCACAAATGAATGGATTAGATATTATAAAAGTTGAATAGTTGGTTTATAAAAGTTATCAAAGAAATACCTGATGAAGAAAGTTTTCAGGAAAATCATATTGTATAGAAGCGTGAAAAGCGTGCCTGCCATAATCCATATTCGGTAAGTGGAAAAGAACAGGACCTAAAGTTAAGGGATTTTCATGACCTTGCATCGGATCAGACCACATAGAAGTACTATTCCAGAGAAGATCGCGCCCTGCTGGAGAAGGACAAAACAACGACTCAGTACCATGCTGGCAAGGTACTGCTCTGCTAGACATCACTGCAATATGAAAGTTTGCATATGCTTGCTCAGCATTGTCTGAATTAAGCAAAATTTTCACATGGTTGAACTATGAAACAAATTGCACAGTTTTCTGTCCGACGCAGGGTTCCTTCAATCCTTATCTACAGAATAAGCGAAGCTCAAACTTCTAGTTTTCTTGGAAAGAGACATGAAGATGAAAACACAGGCTGGGGATCTGACATTTTATTACCAATGGGGCACGCTAGTAAGTATCCCATTCAGCAACTAGGCAGTACTAGTACTCCGCATTTACAGACATATGCACAGCCCACATGCCATGTTCATTTTGTTTCAAATGAACACAGATCTCCAGAAACTAAGCCAGCCATTAATGATGTAATACGACCAGATTAGCTGCAAGTTGCCATCTAAACGCATGCAGGCTTACCAGTGATTGCATATTTTGCTTTTCCTACTGAATAAGTAATATAAACATACCTTGAGAAGTCGTAGGACCCTCTCCAGCAAGGAGTATGACAACTTGACAATTAGATGTAGATCCAATCTTTGAGGACTTTCCTTTCCTTGTAGGGACATTGCGTAGTAGTTGTACTAGTACCTATCATCAAATACAGTCTACAGACAATGAGATATAAGTCTTTTCAGGGTAATGAATCATTCACTCATGGCATGACTGAGATATTCCATACCTTTCATGGAGGATTCTCTTTCCTGATTCCCGCTGTTATGCATGGCTTCACATGATGATAATGGTTGCTTTCAGTCACAAGCCAAACAAAGAACAGAGAGAGACCCAGAAGGAACAGCATCAACAGTTGCGTGCCAAAATTCATTTGCACCACAAGCTTTACAGCCATTCCTTTCGAATTTGCAGCATATCTTGGTCGCATGCAAGGAGTTCCATTCTTCTTCATGGTGGAATGCTATTTGGATAGCGTGGCGCTGGGGATCCAGATGAAGATCATGCCTCAAAATATACATTTGGTAGAAACAAATTGGGAGTACGTACTAGTGATAGCAGAGGCATTCAACATCTTCAATTTGCCCCTAACCATTCCATTTCTCGATGGCAGCAAGATGTACTTCCATTCCAATCCAGAAGCTTTGCCAATATTAGCTGCATTACAACCAAAAAAGGGGGAAGAATGACTACACCAATCATCCAATGTTTGTATCTCAAGAACTTTATTTTCTACTCCCTCCGTATTTTAATGTATGACGCCATTGTTTTTTACCAACGTTTAACCATTCGTTTTATTCAAAAATTTTATGCAAATATGAAAATATTTATGACATGCTTAAAGAACATTTAATGATGAATCAAGTCACAACAAAATAAATGATAATAACATAAATTTTTTGAATAAGATGAATGGTCAAATGTTAGATAAAAAGTCAATGGCGTCATACATTAAAATATGGAGGTAGTAGTTACTAACATAGTAAAAATCCTAATGAAAAATATTACAAGAAACCTGATATCTTTAGGGGGCAAAAAAAAAATAAAAGCAGCCATAACCTATGTGTTATGATGATAAAATGTATTCTTTGAACGTTTACACAGGATTCTGGGATCCAACAGTCATGGCAACAGAGGCCCTTTGCCAGGTACCTGAAAGGTCAAATAATAACCACTGGTATCAAATTTTGTCTAAAGAAAAGCAAGGACACTCATATGTCCTACCATGTGCCTCATTGGCAGTGACACTTGTAATGCCTCTCAGCAAGGGAGAAAAACACAGAGACTGATCGCTCTTGTTGGTGCATTTACTTTGATAGAGATACCTACAACTGCAATGATGTAGGCTCATTTTTCTGTGCAGTAATATTTTCTCCCATGTGAAACTGTTAGTATGCTTCATGTGATAGCATCAGTACTTGATAAGGACCTGAAATGTCATCATTTTGCTTATCTGTTAGGAGGGACAAATGGCCAACCTGTTGTACTTTTGTTGTTAAAAATAACAATTAACGAGTCCCAGGATCTTATGTTTGTCAATGTACTCCCTCCATTCTAAATTGATCTACATATTTCATAGGTACATCAAGACCAAGAAAAGCTAATAACTCTCTCATACTATATTTACTCTAGCAACAAACTCAATGCATGCACCATCCCCACTATTTCCTAGCCAATAGCAAATTAAGATATTGCATGTGGGTTATAAATACTTGTGTGCATGTAGATCCATTTACTCCAGTGCACAAATAACGAATAGACCTAATGAATGAATACAAATATGTAGATCATTTAGGAATAACCTCAGAAAGACTATATGTAGATCAATTTGGAATGGAGAAAGACTATATGTAGATCAATTTGGAATGGAGGGAGTACCTTGTAAGTCATAAGTATAGGCAATGTAAGCATGCCAGGTCTAGCTTTATGTGGATTACAAACAGGGCAACAGGTTCCACTGAAAGAGCCAAATTTTGATATGCCTCTCAAGTTTCAAGTCTCAACCTAAGTAATGAGAGATATGAAAGTCCTAGAGTGTCATCATATTATGAAGTATTTTATCTTTCTTCTACATCATTTACAAATCCCTGCTAGATGTATGGACTAGCTAAAACTATTTTGCGTACTAGTGCTGCTAAAACTATTTTGCTTACTAGTGCAGCCTGGGTGTTAGTAAGATTGCACATATAAACTGATTTGAGGGAAGCAATAAACATGGCCAATTATCCATATCAGGTCAGAAATGATGGCACTGGATATTGCCAACAAAATGATTCATGCACATACAAAAGATCCAGTTAGCACGATCTATGTTCTCAATCAGTTGAGGGCCCAAGGAGTCCTATGCACCCAACAGCCCTTGTGCTATAAATATGTAGACCATGAAGCAACGAAATCCAAGAAAACTAATGGCTCCTTCTGAATATCTTACCGTATTCACATATCAGCAGCAATGTCCAGCCAAAGGTATTTCTGCTTTATGAAAGCCACAAGTAGTATTGCTATATTCCATTTAGGTCAACAAATACTGTCCAGTTTTCTTCATTTGTATAAACACAATAAATAGTAATAGTACAACACAATATGCATAGCTAATTTTAGATGAAAATTGGATTATTTTGTGCTTAGGTTCAAAAATTGTTAGCGAAATGCTGTATTGATGTTGCAGGCCAAGACCCAAATATGTGGGCTGCATGAGGACTTCTAGTCTAGACCAAAACCAATATGGTACTAAACTTAAATTAGTACTACAAACTTGGTCATGGGAGCTACCAGAAGGGCTGCAAAGCTATATTGATTGAACAAAAAGAAGGGGCAGGGACGCTATTGGTATAGAATCATTAGGGTGAAAACACCTAACTCTGAGCTTCTGTAGTGCTCCATATTTAGACAGAGGCAGCTGATCATTCATCAGTCAGTGAATTGCAGACAGCTACCCCTCACATTGATATGTTGCACAAAAAAGTAACTGATTGTGATCGAGTTACCATGTAAAGTCAATGCAAAATTCTTCAAGTTATTCCACTAGTTAATCTGGATATTTTTGTACTGTAAAGAGAAAATATTGCTTGCTTTTCTTTTTTCAGACATTCCAAGCTTTCACATATTCCATGACTGAACTTCAGCAAAGACATGTGCTTCAGTAACTGTTCTTACTCCAGTGATAAAATGTGCTCTCAACACAAGCAACGTATTCAAGGTTTCCAGCTTACCATTTACTTTGACCAAATAATGCTACGCCAATATGTCAGCACACTAAGCCGTTAACATTCTTAAAGATCTTACACTTCTCATGTAAAATCTCTTACAAGATCTGTTTGCATCAGCAACTGCGAATTTCCGTAACAAATCATTTCCAACACAACATTAATATAACGTATTCCTCTTTTAGGTGTACGATATTCACAACAGAGATTTAGAGCTTTTCGTCGACATTGAATAAAACTTTACTGAATTGGTTGGAAAATAAGTTTAACAACGTTCTTGCAGTCGATTGTAATGCCAAAAATAATTTTGTGCAAGATTCTCTTAGTTCTTCGTATCAATTTAAACACAAACCTAAGATCAGTTGCATTTTTAGCTTTTCAAAACTCAATTAGTCACTAAGTTGAAGACATATCCTGCAGGGGAACAACAACATCCATCCGTAATAAGCAATTCGTAATCTACAGATCATAATAGAAACATAACTTCATCTGATCTAAAACCCAAGCATCACATTACATAATAACAAAACAACAAGTACAAGAAAACGATCTCGTAGTGGATTTAGAGACTCTTTGCTTGAACAAAACAAACTGAAATAGAAAAAAAAAAAAGGTAGCTCACATCTTTGCTCAAGCTATGCTCGAAGGTAGTAGTAGAGTTACCAATCGAGCTCACGCGAAATCTTCCACCAAGATCGCCTTCTCCACAGCCACCACCACCTCCACCTTCTCCTCCTCCTTCTCCTTCCCTTCTTCTCCATTGCCTTCTCCGCGATCCGAATCAGCGATTCCTTCCCGGATCCCCTCGACGCAGCCATTGTCAGAACCAAGCTTCTCGCCCCGCTCCTCCCCGACCACCACAACCCTATCCTCCTCGTCCCCGCGCCCTCCGACGACCACCTCGTCTCCGCCCTCACCGGCTCCGCCGCCGACCACCACGACCTCGTCGGCGCCGCTCCCGCGGTCGCCTCCCACCCCGACGAGGGCATCCGGGATGTCCCCGCACGTCGGGCCCGAGTCTTCCACGCATCCCCCGGCGCCGCCGCCACGCGGCGGGAGGAGGAGGTCCTCGTCGTCGTCGTCGTCGTCGTCGGAGAGGGAGAAATGGGCGAGGCGGGACGAGACGGCCATGGCGGCGAGGGAGAAGGCCTCGGCGATGGACTCCGGCGGGAGGGCGCAGTCCTCGAGCCCCGCGTCCTCCAGCCGCGGCGGCCGGACGGGCTCGCCGCCGGCGAGGAGCTCGCCTTCGTCGGCCATCTGTAGCGGCGGTTTCGAGAAGTAACCACCGGCTAGTAGAGTCGGCGACGAAGGGGCCTTCGTGGGTTTGTATAATTAAAGGCCTAGCCCGTGGGAAGTGGGCTTCCAATCGGCCCAGGCAGCCCGCAGTAGAATTTCTTTTCTTTTCTTTTTTAGAAAAACTAGAAAAAATGCCCGTGCGTTGCAACGAGTTAAAAGCAATTTCAATTATATATGGACTGTGGTGGATAAATAGTTGAATATGACATTTGTTTCTCTTTTTCTTTATCTACTCTAAAATTTATCTACTCTAAAATGTATACGTTTTGGTTGTGAGCGTATTGGTAGAGACCAAAGATATACACATTTATTAAAAGTAGGGTCAAATACAAACTCATATCCCTATCCTCTCCACACGGTCAATTTTTTTTACCTCATCTATCTTTAGTCCTCTCTACAGAGCTACACACCGAGTTGCACGGCGAGCGGAGGTGTGAATGCAAAGCAACTAAGGTTATGTTCGGGAGGAGGGGCCCTCCTCTCCGGCACACAAAACGAAACATAAATTAGCGCATAATTAATTAAGTATTAGTTTTAAAATTTTTTTAAAATAAATTAATATTATTTTGTTAAAACAATTTCCCTACATATTTTATTAAAAAAGTACCGTTTAGCTGTTTGAGCGTGTGGCCGAAAAATGAGAGAGATAAAGTTATGAACAATGAATCTCAAACATCGAACCCTAGGTTCGTAACTAATTCCTCATGCACAAAAAACGATGTAGCTCATTAGCACATGATTAATAAAGTATTATCTTAAAAACCTGAAAAATGGATTATTATGATTTTTTTTATAAAAACATCATTTAATAAAATGCATTATTACGATTTTTTGTTTAAAAAATATTCTATAGATTTTCTTTAAAAATACAGCGTTTAATTGATCGGAGAACGTGCGCAGAAAAACTAAAGAGCATAAGTTTTGAGAAAGGAGAGTGTTGAACGCACGCTACTGAGGCCATCGCCTATTGGTATCTAAGACCTATTAAATAGATGGTACTAAAACTTCCCTATCAGATTGGATGTTTGGACACTAATTATAGATATTAAACATAAACTATTAATAAAACTCATTCTATAATCCTGAATTAATTCGCAAAACGAATCTATTGAGGCTAATTAATCTATAATTAGGCTATGTGATGCTACAGTAAACATACGCTAATTATAGATTAATTAGGTTTAAAAAAATTGTCACGTAAATTAGCTCTCATTTATGTAATTAGTTTTATAATTAGTCTATATTTAATACTCCAAATTCATCCGATATGATATGGACTAAAGTTTAGTCCCTGGATCCAAACACCCCTAATTAATTCCTCCGTCCATAAAACTGCATGTTCCACTGCCCCCAGAGCTGTCAAAAGAAGTGTCATTTTAGCAATTCATAGAGAAGTGGTGGGGCCAATTTATTTCGTGGATACCGAGTTTTGATTTTTTTTTCCCTACCATGATTGCGTCTCGCGTCAATTCAGTCGGTATGGATGGATAAGAGCCACACGTGTCCGCTCTCTCTCTCCTTATCTCTTCCTTCTCTTCTCGCTCTCCATCTCCACCGCTGCTCCCCTTCTCTCGGCGCTCCCTCCTTCTCCTCCACCGCTAGGCGAGCGCAACCCTAGCGACAGCGCAGGCAGGGGCTCGTCGTCTCCTCTCTTTCTTCTCTTCTTCTCCCCTCGGCTCTCTCGCACCCTCCCCTCGCCTTTCTCACGCGTCGGCGGCGGCCTGGCGGTGGAGGCGGTGGTGGCGGCGGCGGGAGGGAAGGCGACATCCCGGCGGCGGCTCCCTCCGCAGGAGGGGAGGCGGGGGCGGCGGCGGCGCCTCCCCTCCGCCAGATCTAGCCGGGAGTGGCGGCCCGGCAGGAGGGGAGGCGGGGGCGGCGGGCGGTGGTAGAGGGAAGGCGACGGCCCCGGGGGGCGGCGGGCGGTGGTGGAGGGAAGGCGACGGCCCGGCGGCGGCGAACGGGAGCGGAAGCAAAACTCTTGTGTTCATGTGTGTTCTTTTGTTCATCTTTTGTGTTCATGTTGTGTTCTTGAAGTGAAAGTGAAATTGCTTGATGAGTAATGGATTTGTGCGAATTTTATTCCTTTTCTTTTTCTGGGATTATTGGTCGGTGTAGTTCTTGTATTTGAAAGGGATGATTGCTTGATTGGGCTTTTAATCTATCTTTGATTTTGTGATTTGCCCGCCGTACGCGATTAGGATTTTGAATCCATCTCTGATTCTTTTGTGCATTGGCCAGCCTACGCGATGAACTAATACGGATACAGCAGGGACGACGTATGAAAATTTGTGGCAAAAACATCTTAAACTTTTATAATTGGTAAAGATATACAAATACAGACACGCACAAAACACATGTACGCTCATCTTATGAATGCTTACACGCGCACTCACCTTATCCTTATGAACACCTCTAAAAAGCTATATCAATATATCTTACAATTGATGAAATCTTCACAAGCGTCTACAACAAATGTGAATAATCATGTGAATAATCATGTCAAGTTTAGGAATAATAAACGTATCCGAATATATTCAATGTTAGACTCGTTTTGCCGCATATTTTGAATAAAATATGATGGTGATATATAGTTCAAATGTACAAAAGAGATTGACTATAAATCACAATTGCTTTGTTGGTAGTGATCAGACCACACATCCTAAGAAATGAAATGCGGAGCCCACTGTCATTAGCAGTACTACTACGTTAATCGTAAGCGTACGCTGATTTCTTTTAGCAGGTCATGTGGATTAACCCGTCCATGCGTACGTGGGCTTATCAAGGAGGTTAATTCGTGAATGTCATCACCGTTTAGTTCACGTAAAAATTAAAAGTTTGGTTAAAATTGAAACAATGTGATGGAAAAGTTAAAAGTTTGTGTGTATAAAAGTTTTGATGTGATGGAAAAGTTAAAAGTTTGTGTGTATAAAAGTTTTGATGTGATAGAAAAGTTGAAAGTTAAAAGAAAAAAATTTGAAACTCGGCCTTACGCTGGAAGCTCTCGGAGGTTCGTTTCCATCGTCGCTGCCTAAGACACAGACCCCGGCTGAAGGGAGGAGACTAAGAGAACAGATGGAGACTCTAGAGAAACAGAGCGACACTGGTTATGTATAGTTCCACGCTAAAATTGAAAGTTTGAAGAAATTAAAATGATATGATGGAATAATTGAAAGTTTAAATAAAACAAAAAGTTAAAATCTAAACAGGGCCACTGTCATCATGGGCAGCTTGCGGGCGCGTAGTGAAAAATAAACATCCCCGTGTCATCGAGCCGATGTTATAGGTCGAGATAGATCGTGCTACGTGGTGATCGAGTAGGATGAATAAATTCCCCTGTTGGTAAACCAGTTGTTCCGATGGATTATCGGAGTATCTCTTTTCTTCATATCGATTGGGACACTATGAAACTATACTTGGTATCAAATTATCTCACCTGTTGTATAAATATTTTTTTTATGTCCGACCACTATTATTGGTGATAAGATTGTTAGAGTTTGTGTACACAGTCGGTTATAGTTTAGGACTTGAAGTTGTAATAGGTGTAGGACTAGAGTAAGAGTCAGACTCTATCCTAGGATCTCTCGGGGCGTGCCTGTTGTAACCGCATGGCTACTTAGCATAGCGAGAGGGAGCGGCTGCCGGCGTTGACTAGCCGTGAGTCGTTGTAACTCTGATACGCTGTAATATGCTGGATCGGGGAGGAGCACACGTAATCAATGCCCCGGAGATGTAGGCCTCGGCTGAACTCCGTTATCAAATATCGTGCCTCGGTGTCGTCATCGTGTTTAAATCTCCTATGACGTTTTCTTCCGCCTTTGTTTCCGATGTAATTTCGGGGCCGGTTTTATAATAAGTGGTATCAGAGCCTGCGGGAGATCCATGGTAGAGGTGCGAGGGAGGTGCTTCACGCCGTGACGACTACACAGGGTGTCCAGGGACGGACATGGACGGAAGGTTGAGCACGGCAGCGATCAACGGAATTTGATCGGTGGAATCGGACACTTCAGGCGGCGATCTGAAACGTTCGATGGCTGCAATCAACAGGGAGACGACCAGACGTGGTGCTCGGGTTGATGGCGGTAGAAGCGATTGGCGATCAAATCGGTGGGTCGGACACTCTAGGCGGGTGGCTCGGACTTTCCTGTGAGCTACTTTTAACGAGGAGACGGTCAGACGTGATACTCAGGGTTGATTGAAGCTGGAGGCGATCGGCGTTCTCGATCGGTGGAATCGAACACTCTGGACGGGGTGGCCTAGGCCTTTCGATGAGCTGCGTTCGACAGGGAGATGGCTAGACGTAGCACTTGGGTCGTTTGGCGGCTGGGAAGACGACATGGCGATTTGTCGGCTTCGGCTCACAGCTAGATTGGCAGGTGGTCAATTGGAGGTCGGAGCGGATTTGTTGGCGACGAAGACCGAGTGGCAGGAACACGGCTTGATGTGGTCGTCGTGTAGGTGCCAGCGGGTTTCGACGCAGGCTGGCTCCTGTGATTGGAGGCGGCGGCTTTCGCGGGGAGCAGTGGTGTCGGTTGCTTCGGGGAGAAGTTGCGGCGGAGCTCTGAGGCGGAGGCAGTGTCGACTGTGTGCGTTGCGGCGAGTCGGCGACATGGTGCAGTGTGAACACGGGCAGGCCAAACAACGTTACATGCATTAGTTTGCATTGGAACTTGTGCAAGGTCTGTTGGATGTGCATGCATCATATGTATCGTGCGTGTACAGGACTCCATGCAGGGATGTTCACGTAGATGCACGTACGGGGACAGCTTACCAAGTCGGAGTCAGCTTGTGGCCATGGGAAGCGGAGGCAAGAAGCGATTCGGCTGTGACCAAGTTGCATTCGGAGAGCTTCTCAAACGGCATGAAGTGGGACTCGACGGATATAGTGAGCTGGTGTTTCCCGTGCAACAGCGGGTGAAAATCGTTGAGGGCGTTAACAGGCTGTTTGGCAGTACAGGATATATCCAGAATCTGCGGGGTTTACATGATGGGGGATATATGAAATCTGTATAACTGAAGGAGAAAAGTAAACGCTATGGTGGTAATTTATTTGGGTGATTCAAGGCAACAGTGAATTTTCTCAGATTATCAGGAATGCAGTCTACGGATGCCGGAGAAGCGTGGATGTTGGATTTATTAGCTCGGTTCATAAGACGACAAGGAAGAAAGGGTTCTCTTCATGTCTGGTGAGTTTGATTTATCTATTTGGTGATGACATCGGGTTATCTGGCCATGGATTAGATCAAGTCAAATTTAAGACGGAAGATGGAGGTGAACATAGTCTTCGGGGAGTCTATGATGTGACAGCTAGGGAGAAATTCAATTTCGCTTGGCAAGACGACTGTGGTGATATGAGAGAAGGTGGAGCATTGTTGCAGGTGGAGTCAAGAGGAAGAAATTACAAGGATAGCAGGAGTCTCTTGTTTAACGGTGAGCCTGGTGGAGGCTTGTCGGGGCGGCTCGGCGTGAGTGGCGAAAAAGGATCAACTCAAGTCCTGGTACACGAAGGTTCGAGCAAGTAACAGATTCGGATTGGCGTGGTATATTCGCCAAGGTGGAGTTTGTTAGAGTTTGTGTCGAATATGTGTACACAATCGGTTACAGTTTAGGACTTGGAGTTGTAATAGGTGTAGGACTAGAGTAGGAGTCGGACTCTATCCTAGGATCTCTCATAAATAGAGGGGCGTGCCTGTTGTAACCGCATGGTGACTTAGCATAGCGAGAGGGAGCGGCTGCCGGCGTTGACCGGCCGTGAGTCATTGTAACTCTGATACGCTGTAATATGCTGGATCGGGGAGGAGCACCCGTAATCAGTGCCCCGGAGATGTAGGCCTCGGCTGAACTCCGTTATCAAATATCGTGCCTCGGTGTCGTCATCGTGATTGAATCTCCTATGGCGTTTTCTTCCGCGTTTATTTTCGATGTGATTTCGGGGCCGGTTTTATAACAAAGATTGCCTTTTTCTTCTCAAAGTTGCAAAATTGGGTATATCTGATATGTTGATTGGACTATCCACGTATTTTTATAATAAAATTACATGTTTTCATGGTGTACATTCCGTGAGAAAGTCCCAAATTCCTATGAAAAGAAATACCATCCATACAATATAAGCAAGCTGCAACGAGGATTGGAGGTTAAAAATACATCATCCACATTACATTACTTCTGACACCGATGAGACTGGACCATACATATTGGCTAAAGTTGACAAAACTATTGCCATCAGATATGACTATCATAAAAGAAAAATGCAAGATAAAATTATGACCGAGTGTCGACAAGATCAGATCGCTATATTATTAATACGTCCAAACATATAGGAATGGATACACCGTTCTTGGGCACCACATATATATGTCTATGACAAAAATGCTAGATAAAATTATGGCTGAGTGTTGATAAGACCATGTCGCTAGATTATTAATGCGTCCAAACAGATAGTAATGGATACACCGTTGTTAGGCACCGATGAGAAAAAAAACCACAAATCCACATTGTTAGGTATCGATGAGGAAAAACAACCACAAATCCACGTAAAAAAGCTGGAATACATGAGTGGGAACTGAAGATCCCCTTCATCACGGCACCTTTTCTATACACTGATGTAATAATAACGTATTGTGCCCAGGTTCGGTGAAACAAAGCCACTCATTCTATCATACTCAACATTAAATCTGCACCATCCTTAAACACCTTCCATGAACAAATAATTTTGAAGATAATGACACAAGTACAAACTTAATCGGAGATATTCTATAAGCTTGTCCCGTGGATGTAATTAATTAGTAGCCACATAGGCACCAGGAATTAACGAACTACACAGTATCCTATCAAGATATCCTCTCCATTAAGCATCTTCGTGAAAGCAAAAGACGAACTCATGTGAAAACATATTGTATTTGTAAAACATTGATGTTAATGAATAATTATTAATAAAATAAACGGTTTCTCTACTTCTGTGTGTTCATTGTTTTCTACTTCTGTGTGTTCATTGTTTTGTTTTCATCAAACAGTTTATGCCCAACTCGAATTTGGATTTGGATTCAACTCCTTTATACATAATGTTGCTATATATTAAAAGTTTATATCTATATGTCTATATGCATATATCTATATGTCTATATAGTTTATACACACGAATACCTATAAAGCAGAATTAATTTTTATTTAGTTAATATTGTTGTTTTCTTTTCATAAACTTATTTTCTGAATTTGTTTTTAAAAAACCCATCTACATGGGTTGGGCTCACATGCGCTGGGAGGCTCCGCTAGGAGTCAAGAGGGAGAATCTGGATATACACTATGTCTTAGATTCAAATTTAGAAGTTGGATTTTTTTGGACGGAATCAGATAACTATGTAGCCTTGTCCATTCTTATTTCTTCGTACTGAATTAGGTTCACTTCATAATCAGTTTCCTTTCCTTGTCGGTAACACGTGGGTGGATGTATAAGGTGCGGATTCCATAGAGTTTGTGCACAAATCTACCACTAGCTAGTATAGATGATTGGTAGTACTTCTGGAAAAAAAAAGCTACTTCCTTAGTTTCACAATGTAAATCATTCTAACATTTTTCACGTTTATATTTATGTTAATGAATCTATATAGATTTAGAAAGTAGCTTACATTGTGGAAAATGCTAGAATACCTTACGTTGTGAAACGGAGGAAGTATAAATGATTAAATTTGATACTCCTACTAATAAGAGAAAGGTATTTAAGGACAACAAAAAAAATACTACCACACATTTTTTCTCCGAGTGATTTACATCACTGCTACAGTGCTACGTCCTATGATTACAGCATGTTAATTATGACCCAGCACTGATACCAGGACGAAACGCGTGATATTTTGAGAATGAAATAAAATTTTCTTATACACAAATATACTATGTTGATAAATGCAATTAACAATTACTATAAAAAGTATAGTTTTTACGAGAGTGATTCCCCATTTCAATTTTAAATAAAGTTTCCCTATTTTTACTTTTAATAATAGAATTTATTTCGGTGTTTTTTAACAAACTATAACTATATAACTAATTGAAAAAAATTATAGAGGTTGCAATATGTAAAAGGAAAACCACTTAGAACAGTAGTCTAAATACAGAGATATCACTACACATTCATCTATGTATAGTTGACGATGAACTACATAGTAGCTTTTTTAGTGACTCACAAGTTATAGGCAATCTTTTAGCCTTATCGCTTATGCTTATACTTATTATCTAAAATTTGAATTTTCAACATTAAATTTGAAGTTGATTTTGGGGTTTTTCATCGAATTTTATTTTTCAGCATTTGCTTTTAGGTCGCTAAGAACGTGTATATAAAAATTTTAATCACAAATTATTTTTCGTTTGCAAATATACCATTTGGCTTATTCAAGCCAAACGATGGGGCCATTTATCTTCCTCAAAGCAGGAAACCTAATATCCAAAATCAGCATACGATTGCGGTGCCGATCGAATTTCGTCTCACATCAGTGTTGGTGACCAACATCAAACCGAAATGGAACATATCATTGGAGTGTAATTAAGTTGTAAATTAGTCATTCACCCAAATCTTACCACCGCCACCGCCATCAAGCTAACATATGTTCCAAATAATGGCCACTACAACACGAAGAAGAAGATCCTCCAAAGCAACGCCTCCACTAAGGACTGTCATGAGATGCTGTCGCCACTAGTCCGGTAAATCGAATCAAGGTTTTCACTTGGAGACCAAAAGTGGAGGGATAGAAAGATGTGATGATGTGAAAGGGCATATAGCCTAGTGGTTGCAGTGACCTGAGTAGCACCCCAAGGTTCTGAGTTCAAATCTCTATAGGAGCGAATTTCATATTGGGTTATTTAAGTGCTAAGTTTAATGTTTAATAGGCTAAGTTTCTAATTTTAAAAGGCTGCATATATTCGGTTGGATATAGAGGCCGGATAAAAAAAATACCCTTCTTAAAAGCAAAAGAAAGATGTGATGATGCCTCCTAGAAAGAAAAGCACTCGGGGGCATTGGCCTAGCCAGGAGGCCAGTAAGGAGCAGTGAGACTGAGAAGCCAAGTCCGCCTCTAGCCATTGCATCGCCATCGCCCATGCGTGACTCTCCCGGGACCATACCATGAGAAGCCTGAAGCCCCACGCTATCGCCCATTCGCCCCTTCGATCTTTTATTTTTCCTTCGGCTGCTTCCGGCCCGTACCTCTGGATAGAGCTTTCGACGACGGTCTATCCAATCAACAATTATCCTAATTATCCTAACAAAAAAAACCAGTAAAGTAGTAGACATTCACTAAAGCTGCATATTAGTGTTTTATTTTCACCGGTTAATATTTTTGTTCTTTACAGACTCTTCATTCATTTGTGGATATGATACTCGAGGCAGTCCAGCTATAGGCTATAGCCCTTACAATTCTTAAACCAATATGACATAATTAGCCAACTAATCACAAGGCAGTCCAGTTAATTGAACAGATAAACTTACACCAAATGGGCAAATGCTGAAATGCTACTACTTACTTGGGCATGGCTGCCATGCCACAAGAGAAAAGCAGCCACAGATAATGACTAAACTTGCACATCTACTTATCTTATTTAAGAGCCCTAGCTCCCACCATAAGCTAGCAGTAGCACATATAGTACTGCACGAAGAACTACACCATGGCGCAAAATGTCCAAGAAAATGAGCAGGTGATGAGCACGGAGGACTTGCTCCAAGCTCAGATCGAGCTCTACCACCACTGCTTGGCCTTCATCAAGTCCATGGCACTTAGGGCCGCCACTGACCTGCGTATTCCCGACGCCATCCACTGCAACGGCGGCGCTGCCACCTTAACTGACCTCGCCGCCCATGTCGGGCTGCACCCGACGAAGCTCTCCCACCTTCGGCGGCTCATGCGCGTGCTCACTCTCTCCGGCATCTTTACCGTCCATGACGGCGACGGCGAGGCCACCTACACGCTCACCCGAGTCTCTCGCCTTCTCCTCAGCGACGGCGTCGAGAGAACTCACGGCCTCTCGCAAATGGTGCGCGTGTTTGTGAACCCGGTCGCCGTGGCTTCGCAGTTCAGCTTACACGAGTGGTTCACTGTCGAGAAGGCGGCCGCCGTGTCACTGTTCGAGGTGGCGCACGGCTGCACCCGTTGGGAAATGATAGCAAACGATTCCAAAGACGGCAGCATGTTCAATGCCGGCATGGTAGAGGATAGCAGTGTCGCCATGGATATCATCTTGAGGAAGAGCAGCAACGTTTTCCGGGGCATCAACTCGCTTGTTGATGTAGGCGGTGGCTATGGCGCCGTAGCTGCAGCCGTAGTGAGGGCATTCCCTGACATCAAGTGCACGGTGTTAGATCTTCCTCACATCGTCGCCAAGGCTCCCAGTAACAACAACATCCAGTTTGTCGGCGGTGATCTTTTTGAGTTCATTCCAGCAGCCGATGTTGTGCTACTTAAGGTACATCCATACAAGTAACTTTTTCGATATAGTAGTTTTAACTAGTAAGTGGCTTGTTTAATAATTTGGAAATTTTGTCTTAATTTTGCATGTGATTTCAGTGTATTTTGCACTGTTGGCAACATGATGACTGTGTCAAGATTATGCGGCGGTGCAAGGAGGCAATCTCAGCGAGGGATGCTGGAGGAAAGGTAATACTCATCGAGGTGGTTGTTGGGATTGGATCAAACGAAACTGTTCCCAAGGAGATGCAACTTCTCTTTGATGTTTTCATGATGTACACCGATGGCATCGAGCGGGAGGAGCATGAATGGAAGAAGATTTTCTTGGAGGCTGGATTTAGTGACTACAAAATCATACCGGTGCTGGGTGTTCGATCAATCATTGAGGTTTACCCTTGATGCTCCTAGAGGTGTACATGTGCATCTCACCATGTGACCTACTCTAGTTCAAATAATTGAACAAAATGCATAATATGTTACTTAAAAACCGATCGGTTTGATGTTAGTATTTTGATTTCCTTTTATTCAGGAGTCAGTAGTGCGCACGATCACACCAAGGCCACTGTTCTCATTTTCCTATGTATGAGCTACAATACGCACGCCGTTGGATGGCACGGCTTATGCGCATCGTGGCTCAAGTCTCGGGCATGTTGTTAGCCCAAAATTTCCATTCCTATATTCAACATAATAAGAGGAAGAGAAAACCGAAAAGCTGCAAGGCAGTTCGCAGCACCAAATCTATCTCGCTATGCTCTGTTTTGTGTTCATGTGTGTTCCTCTCTTCTGGAAGTGGTATCAAAGCGAGCAAAATGGCAATGCTTAGATAGGATAATCATTACTTGGGGAGGTGTTGATGAAAATCCGTGCTTGGCTGATGGTGTCAGAACTGTGTTGGTGCGAACTAAGTCGATGAACTCAACGGCCTAGGAGATCTGTTTAGCTCCAGTGTAGGTCCAAAGGTTGATGAGATGCGGGCGTGCCTGTCAGTTTGATCCTGTAACTGACAAGATATACAAATAGCAGAACAATAAGCCAATCAGCTGATAAGCCAATGGAGTAATTCCAGTCGATGCCAATACCAGCCGATAGCGATAGGATTTTGAGCTATCAGTTATATGGTTGCTGTAGAATCTGATACTAGGTGTAAATGAAGACAATCGGCTAATGATAGTGTAACAACACAATAATATAATCTAGTAGAAACTAATTGGCTAACAGTATGATAGAATAAGCACTGATCTGAAGGTGAAAATATACATCGACTAGAAGTCCGATGTCATCAAATCCAAACGATTAGATAAACAGTGAAACCTTTGTTGCGATCGGCTAAATCCAACTTGTATGTAATCCTTATAAGCCAATGCAATGTCCAGATAACTCATCGGCTGAAACCTAAATGAAACCCTTATTGGCAATAAAAAAGGAGGCTAGAGGTTATGGTTCTAACCATGAGTAGAGCTGATGCAGCGCAAAGTATGAAAATAAACATAATATTTACACAATCAAGCCCTTGACTGATTTTCAGAGTGATAGATATCTTAGCTAATCTAATCTGGTAAAACAATTTAGCCGATACCGACATAAACCCAAAAATGAATCTTAGCCGATACAAGTAAATTGAACTACCAAACTAGATTAACTAAGATACATGATAGATAGGTGCTTACATTGACCATTTTGTAATTATAAAACTGCTCTATGATATACAGCTCACTGCCAGCATCGGAAACTATATAAAATATATTATAATGTATGACTTAACAAAATAACTAAAACGAATATTGAAGACGTAAGATTTTTTAAAAAACTATAAAGGTGAGGACCACGTTAGTAAAAAAAACAATATAAAATATGAAGAGAGGGGATTGGAACCTTGATTGTGTGGGTAGAAACAAAAGAACCACACCAACTAGCCCAGACCTCTAATGCTATCACAAAGGGTCTGCGCAAAATATTCTATCATATGAGGAGGTTAGCATCACTTGTGTTGGTGAGATGTTTACCATAATACCATCGTAATCAGTACTAACAAAGCGGTTTATATTTACAATTAGTTTCTGGCACGGTATATTTTAAAATAAGTTTTCTTAAATAGGTTAATTTACCAAATTTTCAGGGGTAAGGAGAAGGCCTCATGGATGGTGGCCATCTTTATTAGTGTGACGGCTTTGAGATGGTATCGGCTAGTAGAGTTTGTCATAATGTGGCTGTAGTACGCAAGCTTCATGGCTTTTTCCTAAGAGAAAACTGGGTAACGGCCCAGCCTCACCTATAGGTGGCCAAATGGGCTGCCTGGCCCGGCTTGGACCAGACACGACCAACCTGGGCCGAGGTTAGTCGGGCCGACACGGCCCGACCTATATGCCTAGTCGGGCCATGCCTACCCACGAGCTGCACCCATGGCCTAGGCACGGCTGAATAAGACTCGGGCTATGCCAGGCCGGCCTGAAGGCACGACAGCTCATCATGTTTTTCTATAAAATAAGTCTATTTTTTTCCTCGTCTAGAGATATGTGTCTTTTATGGCTGTAATAGATCTATTTTGTATCTCTCTTCTCATTTGTCATGCCTCAAATGGCTGAATTAAGTCTATGGGATTCATCAACTATTTTTCTTTGACAGTGTCGTGCCGGGCTGGCCCACCGTGCCGAGGAAGCAGCCTAGGCATGGCCCGGCTATCGGGACGGGCCAGCAAGGACCCAACCCTAGTCAAGCCGTGTCGTGCTTGGGCTGGGCCAAATTCCCATGCCTTGGGCCAGGCTATCGGGCCTCGGGCCATATGGCCAACTATACCCTGGCTTTGTGGGCTTCGAACTGGCCCATCCAGTCCTGTGGTAGTCCATGCCTATGTTAGAACATAAAAATATTTTTGAATGAATTCTATGAAAACCAAACTAAATTTAAAAAAAAAAGCAAAATTTCATACGTTTGAAAGGAGGTCCTAAAATTCCAGTAGAACAACAATTTCTAAACTTAACGACATTATGCATCGTCACAGATACAGATGTGAGAGCAACGACCTCGGCCTCGTCTTTTCACAACGAGTTACACAAGCTCGCAGCATAGGCTGCCATGGCAGCTCACAAGGATAAACAGCCAGCTCACCTCTGTTTCAGGTTATAAGACGCTCTGTTTCAGGTTAACATGCTCTGGCTTGCTGACGAATGATAGCTACTCCCTCCGTTTCAGGTTAGACGTTTTGACTTTTGTCAAAGTCAAAACTACTCTAAGTTTGACTAATTTTATAGAAAAAAGTAGTAATATTTTTAACCCAAGACTAATATATTATAAAAATTTATTCAATTATAGATTTGATGAAACTATGCTGGTGTTGTAAATATTACTACTTTTTTTTTATAGAGTTAGTTAAAGTTAGAGTAGTTTGACTTTGGCTAAAGTAAAAACATCTTATAACCTGCAGTAGCATCTTAACTTCCCCGTGCACAGTGCACACATGTGACATGTGAGTAAGTTTTAAGGAGACTGAAACAAGTTGCGGAGCCATTTGCTCTTAAACTAATTGCTCTGTTTCACGTTAAGATATTTTGGGTTTGAGATGCACTTGATAGTCACTAGTACATAACTCCTTTAACACTAACGGCCTTTGCCGTGTCAGGGGCTTGCGGGCCGTCACCACATCGTCATCTCAAACAGGCCGTAAAAAACACCGACGAAGATATTGTCGCGCAGATATAATCCGTATGCATGTTTCTAGAGCCCATCGCTGATGATACCTACCAGAGACCAGCTTATATTTAGGCCCGATTGAAATTATCTTTGTAATCTTTATTGGGCCCTAACATATCACTAATGAGTCTCATCGTTGACGGGCATTAAACTAGACCCGATTGAGATAATATAAAAGCCCGTCACTAATGTTCGTCATCGGTGATGGGCTTAGTTTTATGCCCGATTGAGATAAATGAGTATCCGTCACCGATGTCCGTTCAGTGGCCGTTTTTGATGTCTATTGCACCCTATATAAACTCCAAACCCCTAGGGAATGGTTATCCCACTATTCATTATTTTGGTGGGAGTTTGAGGGGGGCAGTTTTTGTCTTTTTTTTCTAAGAAAAAAAGAAAATTCATAAAAGTAAGTGAAATATACTAATCAATTTCCATTAATTTAGTAATTCTTATCTTACGAAATGTTTATCTAATATTTTGTTTACTTTTGCAGCGATGGATCGAAATTGAATGTATGGAAGAACTGTGCGACGCCATAGCAAAGAGTATAGAAATGGCGTAATGAATTTTATAAACACCTTGGAGGAGGATAGGAAAAGAAGAAACAATGTGTCGACATTTGATGTCGCGATTCCGGTATTTGCATAGTATGGGGATTGTTGGTACTAGGGTATACGCGAGACTGAGGTAAAAGAGACAAAGACGAGGATTTTTATACAGGTTCGGGCCCCTAAATTGTCAGGTAATAACCTTACATCCTGTTGGCCGAAGCCGGTCGTTGCTCTTATTCACCATAATCACACCAGTACAATATTTGGGGTAACCTATCTAACTGTTGTCGACATGGCGGTCTGAAGGTCTGACTCGTAGTCGACAACAGGGTAGTCTTCCTCCTCGAATCCGTGCCCGGCGAGATCAGAGATAACGCTTTCGTCTCTCCTGACAGTATCCGGAGACACCGTAGGGGACTAGCCGTGCTTATCCCTGAAGTCGATATCCGGCGTCTTGTCTTGGTGTATGTAGGCTTATATGTTGATCTTTTGTCTTGATCTATTGTTCCGTAGATTGTGGTGGTGTTGATTGTCTTGATTGTCTCCCCTCTCCTCCTAGGGGGTCTTGTATTTATACCCATAGGTGTCCCCTTGTCCAAGTAGAACTAGGGAAACTAATATGGATACAATCCGAGTAGTACTTGTCGTTTCCATATAGAACTCTGGTTGTCTTTCCTTATCCGGAACTCCTCCTATATCCGCAGGTTGTTTCCGTATAGGACATGGTATGTGGTGGGTCCTGCCGAGATTTAGTCAACTACTATTAGGTATGTAGTATCCATAACCCTGATACAATGATTTTTTTTTATATATGTTGATTTTACGGTTATATATGTTAATTTTTATATATGTGGTTTAGTGAAGTTTATATGTTATGATTTGGTGATTTACCCATTAGTGAATTATTAGCATAAGTTTGATTTTTATTTTTATTTTTTAGACTTTTTATTTTTTTCAATTTTACTAATAGACCCTTCCAAAAAGTTAATATCTAAAAGAACTTTAATTATTAAGTGTTTCGATTGTTTACCAACAACTACAAAATTAATATAATATGTAAGTAGTGGTCACGGCTACTTAAGTGTTTCGGATAGGTTCTTAGCCGTGCGCGTAGCGCTGAGATGTTATAGTTTAGTGCCATCGGAGTTGACACTAAGAAAACGGTTTATTTTTACAATTAGTTTTCGACACAGCCTATTTTAAAAATAAGTTTTTTAAAAAGGTCAATTTACCAAATTTTCAGGGGTAAGGGAGAAGGCCTCATGGATGGCGGCCATCTGTGGTACTGTGGTCACGGCTTTCAGATGAGTAGAATCTGTGACAATTGGATGTAGCACGTAGGCTTCGTGGCTCTCTGCTAAGAGAAAACTGGGTAAGGGCCCAGCCTCACCCAGGCTTTGTGGGCTTCCAACTGGCCCAGGCATTGTTGTGGCAGCCCAATCCTCCATTAGAACATAAAATTTTTGAGTGAATTCTATTAAACCTGAACTAAATTCTAAAAAAATCACGCAAATCACACAAGTTTGAAAGGAGGTCTTCAAATTCCAGTATAGAACATTAACTTCTAAAGTTAAGAACATTAAGCATCGTCACAAATACATATGTGAGAGCAACGACCTCGGCCCCGTCTCTCACAACGCGTTACACAAGCTCGCAGCGTAGGCCGCCATGGCAGCTCACAAGGGTAAACAGCCACGCTTACCTCCTTGCATTCAGCTATCTCCATGGTCTCAAGGTCGACGGAGAACATCCAAGTCATCCCTTCCACCGGAGCTAACACAACCGATCCGGCGGTCGCCGCCGCGACAACCATGGCGGCGCCGCCGCGTCCAGCCTTGTACCCAGCCAATCCCATGGTGGACTCCTCTAACCTGAGACTCTTCTGAAGCACCCACTCGCCGTTGCTATGCTGACCCCGCCATGTCGCGAACACCCTTACGACATTTTCCTCATCCAAACATACAACACGCAACTTGCCATCGTTGTCACCATTGCCACCATCAACGATCGCTCGGAGCCCCGAAGCTCGGACACTGCCCGGTAAGCGGAGGACCTCGAACTCAGTCCTCCACTTGTCGAGGACTAGCAAGGTGTCATCACCTCCAACGGCCCAGAACACGGCGCCCGCCGCGTGGCCGAGAAGGCGCGCGTGTTCAGAGCCCCGGAGATGTATGCCGTGCTTGGCCATGTTCCAGGACGGTTTGAACATGTACCAGCAGGCGCTGCGTGGCCTCGGTTTCCAGCTGTTGCTTCCGTTCGGGTCGAACACACAGGCCCTGACGGTGCCCATGCCATCGGACACGCCGCTGTACTCGATGTACACCACGCAAATCACCCGTAAGCTTGACATGATGCTGCTCCTGTTGCTGGTGCTGCTCGTGGGGTAGCTTTGCAGGAACACGCCGAGGCAGCGCTGGTGCTTCATCTCCTCCATGCGAGGGATCAGTTTGTACCGCCGCGTCACCGGCTCGCAGACGACGAGGTCGGGGAAGAGGCCGCGGCGGTGGCCGCGGCGCCGTGTCGAGCTGGTTGCGGCGAGGAGGAGGATGCTGCTGTGGCTGTCCACGAGGTCCCAGGAGGAGCGGCCGCCGGGGAGGAAGTCGAGGGAGAAGTGGCGGCGCGCGTCGACGCCGAGCGCGACAGCGGACGAGGAGGGGACGAAGGTGATCAGCCGGCTGCTGCGGCCGCGGCCGTCGGCCCGGCGGCGAGAATAATGGTAGTGGCCGGCAACCGGATTCGGGAGCCGGCGATCCATATGAAACGGAAAGTTGTCGTTGGCGACTATGCGGCGCCATCGCTTGCACGTCGCTGCGGCGCGGGTGAGCCAGACCGGCGACGCGACGCGGACGAGGATGTGCTCGAGGAGCTTGTCGGGGAGGTCACCCAGCGTCGTCGGCGACACGGCCGGCGACTTCGACTTCCTCCTCACCATTGCCTTTCCTCTACTAGTCTTGTTGCTGCAACCTTTCTCCTTTGGCGCCACAGGAAGCACTCGGGGGTACAGTTAGTTTTCTGTTTTTGGGATGCGAATGTCTCTGCAAAATGTACCACCCACTCGTTACATATAAGATTCTCATATCTCTGTAAATTATTGCACGCATACATATATTGTATTGTAACAGCAAAGAAGTGGAGCGCCCTCCAAGCATACGAATACGAGGTCAACACGCTTCTAGCTTGCTGACGAATGATATCTAGCATCTTAACTTCCCCTGTGCACCCATGTTTTTTTTTTTTAATGAATCCCTGTGCACCCATGTGACATGTGAGTAAGTTTTAAGGAGACTAGAAACAAGCTGCGGAGCCATTTGCTCTTAAACTAATTGCTCTGTTTCACGCTATAGAAGACTTGGCGGGCGCGGCACGCTCAGAGATAGGCCGACCCAGTCAAGAGCCAGCAGAGATCGTCGTTAGCACCTTCAAATCGAAGCAGAGCTCGCGCCCTCACCAACCACACAATCAACCGGCCGATTCGATTCTTTCCCATGGCGCGCCGCCGCGGCCGGCGCGCGGACAAGGCTAACTGCAGGGTGCCGAGGAAGGCGAAGGTCGTCCCCGCCGCTGCCACATCCGTGGACGACGTCCCCGACCACCTTCTCGAGGACATCCTCCTCCGCCTCGGCCCCTCCTCCGCCTGCCTCGTCCGCGCGGCGTACGCGTGCAAGCGGTGGCGCCGCGTCGTCACGGCCGCGGGCTTCCTCGACGCCTTCCGCGCGCTCCACGGCGCGCACCACCACCGCGTCGCCGGGTACTACCACACCCTCACGCGGCGCTACCAGGGTATCCTTTGTCCGGCCGACTTCACTGGATACCGATGCATCGGCGTCTTCTTGCTCGGCGGCGGCGGCGGCGGTGACATCAGCCTGTCCAACTTCAGGGTCATCTGCGCGCTCTACGATCTCTACTGGTTAAACAACCGCCACATTGGCGTGCAATTGGCCTGCGTGTTCTCCTCAGGCAGCCATGGCGGCGGGTGGCGGCTACCGAAGAGCGCCGTCGCGGATGACATCCAGCTCACAGAAAGGTTCAACTCCATCAGCTTCGTGGGGCGCGCCGGTGGCTGCTTCTACTGGGGAATCGACGACGACGACGACGAAGACGGTGCCATGCTCGTCCTCGACGAGACAACCACGGAATTCTCGCTGGTGACGTTCCCGGACAGTATCCGTGAGAACTACCACATGACGACGTTCCGGATCATCGCCGGCGGCGACGGCGCCATGCGTGTTCTCCGCGTGATAGGCAACGACCTCAAGGTGTTCACGCAGCTGGCGGGCGACGGCGAGTGGGTGCTGGAGAAGCTCGTGCGGTTGCCGGAGGCGACGCGGGGATTGCCGGGGCACGAGGAGAGGTACTTCGAGCAGAACGAGGCCATGATCGTCGCGGCGAACGCGGCGTACGTGCTCCTGACGCCGTCGGTGGAGAAGACGTGGCTCTTCTCCGTTGAGCTGGAGACGATGGTGGTGGAGCGGCAGCATGAGAGGAACAAGTATGCGGGGGTGGCTTACCCGTACGAGTTGCCATTGCTGCGGGCTTTGCACGCCGGTGGCAGATGAGAATAACGACTTGGCAACATGGTGTTGCACGATGATATGGAATGACATTGTTTGGTTTGATATCAACCGTTCGTGCACGATTATTCATCGGCTGCACTCCGTGTGGAGGTATTGTATAGCTGATCTCAGGCGGAGTGACATCTTGAACGTGTCAGGACATTTTCTCTCCTAGGCACTGTTTAGTTACAGGGGTGAAAAGTTCTGGTATGTCACATCGGATATACGGACACACATTTAAAGTATTAAACATAATTTAATAACAAAACAAATTACAGATTTCACATATAAACTGCGAGACGAATTTATTAAGCATAATTAATTCGTCATTAGCAATTGTTTACTGAAGCACCATATTATCAAATCATGGCACAATTGGGTTAATTTAAAATATTCGTCTCGTATTTTACACGCAATATGTGTAATTAGTTTCTTTTTTTTATCTATATTTAATACTCCATGCATGTGTCCAAACATTTGATGTGATAGGGTGAAAAGTTTTTGCGTGGGAACTAAACAGGGCCCTAGCACAAAACATGTAGCAGCTAGCGGGTCGGCTTACCTAACCGCCTAGGAAGAATCAACTTTCAATAGTGGTTGAAAGCCCGGTTGTGAAAATTGTGTATTTTCTCTAGCCTGTGGTTGATGGCAGCTAGCTTAGCCACCTATAGAAACTTATTCTGACCGCCAGCAAGAAATCCGTTTTGTAGTAGTGACTGTCGCCCTGACATCTCTCATGAATTTCCCACACTGTTGCCTCCTTGCTCAACGCTGTGTTGGGGGAGGGAGGCAGCCAGAGCTGGCCTCTTCGATGCCGCCTTCTACACTCAAAAGCAATGGCGATTCTAGCAGGTAGGCTCCATCAGGGTCTAGCCTACCCTCCAATTTTTACGAAAGAAATTTCAACTACATGGCAAAACCATCGGGAGAAATCATGGCGGCTTTTGTTGGGGAAGAAGATGAACAGCGGCAACGCTCAACATCGAGAAAGAAGGCCGGGAAGCTTACTTGTCAGCTATCGTATTGGCCTAGAACTGGATCAATGGTTAAATAGACTAGTGTCAATAGGGCCTAGCGATTGGGAGATATGCTCTTGCAAGGCCGCGACTCGGCGAGCTCAGGACGTTAAGCGCACTCCGCCGCGTGCCTCCTAGCACTCTAGGAGTCGCTTTAGAGCGTTCGTCGCGTTACTCAGCCATGGAAGCTTAATTTGCGGCTAAAAGATGATGAAGAACAGCGAGGTGTAGGGATTATTCATGCCGTGGGATAGCTGTGGTGGATGCCACAGCATGTCACAAGGGTGGGTCCGCCCCTCCCACTAAGGCCAACAATGTTGGGGAGGAGATGAGGAGAGAATAACCTTGTTTTTTTTTTGCAGAAATGAGGAGGATAGTGTTGATCTAGGTTTTCATACATCTCAAATAATGATTTTGGGCTAGAAAATATCAGAAGTATTGGAAATTAATCTCTCTTTTTTCTTAAAAGAAAATTCGCCGATAAGTATAGTTTGATGGCAAAAAATGAGACTATATGTGCACTTATTTGTTATTCAGTCTCGAGCTTTCACATCTAAGTTTCCTAGCCACATATGTCTCTCCCGTGACCAAATGGAGAAGGCGGATCCAAGCTTAGACACTCGTACCTCATCAGAATTTGTCAGCATCATCGGTACTGGCCCACACTGGTTGTGCCCCGTGCAACCATGGGAGAGGGAGGAAAGAGAGCTCGTCTCGGCAGCCATGGAGCGAGCCCCTAGCTCTGTGCCGCGCCACCGCTAGGCTCATGGTCGAGTAGTTTCCGTTGAGCTCACAACCAGGGTTTGAAATTTCACTGGCAAGCTCATATCTCGACCGAAATATTTGGTTTTTAAAATTTTTTGTGAATTTCAAATAATTTCAGCCAAAAAATTCGAAATTTCGGAAATTTCGGTGCCCCCAGCAGAAATAGCAATTTCGAAATTTAAAACCCTACCACTACAAGAAATATGACATTCTATGACGAATTCCTCGTGACATCGGAGCTATTCGTTATTAGCTCATTCTATTTTATAATCTTTAGTATAAGATGGGGTGGCTTAGTGATGAAAATAAGGCCTTTGTCGTTAATACCAACTTGAAATAGTCATAAAGTATTTTAATGGGACATTGTGACGAATATTAATTTATCATAAAGGGCATAAAGTAAGCGTCACAAATTTATGATAATGTTGGCTTGTCATGAGTTTTTTTTCAACTAGAAAGGAAGCCCGCGCAGATGCACGGGCAATTTATTTATTATTTATATAAAGAATATTAAAGAATACATATCTCACCATATTCACTATAATAACAATAGGTTACCTTATAATTGTAAAAAAAGAAATATTTATATTGTGAAAAAAACTATTGACTTTGATATATATATTATTCCATTCATATGTAAACTCACATAACATATGAGTTAATATATTTTTGTTTTGAATTTTTTCCCTCTTTTGCCTATGCTATGCATGTTCATTTAATATATGATGGAATAATCTATATCGTCAAAATTATTTATGATAATTGTTAAATGATGATAATGACATAACTAAAAGGGATATAATATGGTTCCATGTAACATTTTTTATTATACGTATGTATGTTTTTTCGTGAATAGTAGTCTCTCGTATGTATGTACTTTTTTCTTCTCCTTTTTTTTGACAAATATGCCAAAATTTATCACCCAGGGTAGTGTGCTTATGTGTATTTATATGTGTGTACACGCATTCATATATGCACTCACGATTGCCTTTACATTATTAGTAAAATAATACTTTCAAAAAAATTGGCGAGATGGCATGAAGTGGCACTGTGACGATGTGCCTTCTTCGATAACCTCGCTAGGAGTGGTCACAATATATATGCACAATTGAAGGAAAACTTTAGAGCTGCAGAGAGAGAGAGAGAGAGAGAAAACTACTCGATAGGGCTGATCGTATACTACTCAATGGTGCTGATCGTATACACACTCTTCTACTTCTTTTTTGTTTTTGCCATCTCTTGTATATGTATGTACACAAAGCGGGATTGGTCTTGTTAAGGAGCGAGGGATTACTTGAATAGATTAATCTAATGGTTGAAAATAATGGATCTATCACCTATAAAAAAATGGATCCACCGGCTCTAAGTGTAAATTAATAGCTAGATGTTTTGCTTTTTCTTCAAACTTTTCTTAGATTTTCTTTATTTATTAAAGTGTCACATGGCATCTTAGTAGTGCAAGAATGCCAGTAGTCATAGTCACAATGGATTATTTGAATAGATCTAATCTAATGGTTAAAAATAATAAATTCAATGTTTTAAGTGTAAATTAATGGCTAAATGTTTTACTTTTTTAATTAATTTTTCCTAATATATTAGAACGTGTGTCATCTTACTAGTGTATGTAGGTGTGTAGGAATGCTACTACGCGTAGTCACAATCTACTTGCTATTGTTTGTTGTGGCTTCGTGGTATGTCTGCTTAACTATCATTTTTGTTGCCCACTTAGTATTATCATTTATCCTTGGCAGTTGATAACACGTGTTCCCATTTAATGTCAGCTAATTATTAGATGCAATGTGCGCAGATGCCTCGTAAACAATATAACTTGACGATTGGTGGATAGTATTTTGTATATAGAATTTATATACATAGAGATTATAGTAGGGGCATACGACTGATATATTTGGATATTCATAATTGACAAAGTATATTATGTATTGCATATTAAGCATTAATTCTAGTAGTACATGAGTAATAAATTTAAGATTGAGTTATAAACTGCTTATCGAATAGGCTACTCACTTATTTGTGATGAGCATGTTCCCCAAACTACTGAACGATGCGTATTATACAAATACTTTCTATATAAAGGTTTTAAAATAAATAAATAAATCCATGTACGTACTACATACCTACAGGACGGAAGGGAGGGACGTGGCCCACGTGGGCCTTTCAATTTTTTAATAACAAAAATAAATCTAATTGGCCCTGGTTGTGAACTTGTGATATGGAATTGAATTATTTATTTCCGTTTTTCATCTAATCCAAACCAGAAAGAAAAAAAAGAAAAAGAAGTATGGTGGGAATGTGGGATGATACGTACGTACAAACGTACATGCAGTACACGGACCAAGGGATATTTTAAGAGAGATAAATTGATTTGGTAATTTTGTAAGATAGATCTAATGGTTAAAAATAATGGGTCTATCAGATTAAAAGTAAATTAATGGCTATATGTTTTGCTTTTTACTTAGAATTTTTAGTATTTATCAAAACGCCATGTGGTGATCTAGGAAAGTTTTTAGCAGCGTCACGTGGCGGCTTGAGAGCGTTTGTAGGAAGTTTAATGGACTTTCAGTATATAATAAACGTACGTACAAACGTACATGCAGTACACGGACCAAGGGATATTTTAAGAGAGATAAATTGATTTGGTAATTTTGTTAAGATAGATCTAATGGTTAAAAATAATGGGTCTACCAGATTAAAAGTAAATTAATGGCTAGATGTTTTGCTTTTTACTTAGAATTTTTATGATTTATCAAAACGCCATGTGACGATCTAGGAGAGTTTTTGGCAGCGTCACGTGGCGGTTTAAGAGCGTTTGTAGAAAGTTTAATGGATTTTTAGTATATAATAGAAATAGATAATAGATAGATAGATAGATAGATAGATAGATAATAGATAGATAGATAGATGTTTTTTGAAAAGAAAGAATGATTTGTTAGGGCGGTTCTCCTAGCAGCCCACCCACCATTTATCCCATCCCTGCCGCCCTAGCTCTATCTTACAACGCGACGGCCTAGTACAAAAATTAGGTAAAATGACGTCCTAGGCAGGGCTCAAACTTCAAACCTCTTGGTCACCTTCCAACAATCTACAATCTTTCCACTAGGCTGACAACCCAGTATATTTCATGGTTTCCTATTTATTTAGATAATATTCAAAAAACACATTATCAAAATTCATGTCACTCATTTTCTTTTTCATAGCACGCGATACACAGACAAAATGTTTGCCCAAAGTAATTCACTTTCTCTTTGTCAGATTGGTAAAAGTCATACATAACCAAAACCAAGTAGAAATTTGCGGATCTGAAGCTCACGGCCCCTCGATCGTCACCGGATCTGAAGCTCGAGACCGTCGGTGAGGAGGTGAGCTCGAGAGCGTCAGCGTGAACCGGCCCGACGTCGACCCCTCATTCTTCTTATTCGCCTCCTCGTCCTCTCTACTACCTCGTCCTCTCTACTTCCTCGTCATCCCGAGAGGGAGAGATGGCTTCGATTT